CACGTACCTTGGCGTCGCGACGCCTCGCAAGGTACGGGAGAGACTTGTGGCTGAAATCAAAGTGTCCGAACAAATCCCGTGCAGCGTCAGCACCCTGCATCACCACAGCACACAGCAGCTTCAAGGCGGCGAGCACGCACCTGGGGCAGCACGCCACGCACACATATAAAGACAAAGACACACCACACACACAAAGACATACATACAGCAGAGCGTAAACAATACGTACCCTCCACACCAGAGGCTCACAATATAATGCAGTCATCAGAACCATCAGGCATTAGTCTGCCTGTAGAGGTTGCTACAGTAATTACAATTGGGTAATTGTCGAATTTAGAGACATACAGTAGCCACACATACAAAAAGAATGGCACGTTTCATAATCAACAATGGTCTATCCACTGCTGGACTGGATTAAGATACCATCGCCATTCCTCATGTCTGGGCAATGCCACAACCCGTCTGACACCAGCACCAGGAGATGACCGCATCGTTCCATCTGCTCGGCGGTCAAACGCTTGTACGCAAGACTACTCAATGTGTTCGGCTGTGTCGGGAGGTGGAGGGTTTCACGATCATCCCACGGCCTAGGCCAAACATCATTTACGAATCCTCCCATTGGCTGTGAAACACTATGTTCTTACGTTAAACTAAACCATGCTATTTAAACTAAACTATTTTTTATTTTACCAGGTAATGCCCACTGAGCTAAATAGCTCTTTTCAGAAGTGACCTGGCCACAAATGATAGCTCAACGAATTGGATTATCTAGTGGAAATGTATAGTATAAAAAACCGGAGGACTCTGAAAAAATCCATGCAATCACAGGGAGACAGAGGCACGCAAACTCCAAATATACAGCAGGCATCAGGGTCGGGATCGAACCTACGACCTCCTGTATACCAGACGAGGCAGTTAACATCTCCTAGCCACCGTGGCACCGATGTCTCCCCTCTGGAGCATGGCAGCTGATTTGGTGTGAGCGGTGGTGAGGCCAGTGAGGGGTCAGCCGCACCGGGCATCAGCCGACGACAAGCAGTTGTACATGAGCCTCATGTGGCCCTGCAGGAGCTTGCGCACCACCTCGGCCCCCACGCTCCAGTATCGAGCAAGGTCGCCCGCCGTGCGCAGCAGAATGGCCTCCAGCGCCTCCCACACCTTCGAGAGCTGCAACGACCACAACGCATGGTCCTGGTCAAACCACATGATCCAGACACAACAAAGTGTCCTGCCACAACACAGGGTCCCACTGTAATGCAGGAAACGAACACAACACAGCTGCAGCCTTAACACAGGGTCACCACAACGTAGGGTACCACCACAGCACAGGGTACCACTACAACACAGGGTACCATCACAACACAGGGTACCACCACAGCACAGGGTCATCACAACGTAGGGTACCACCACAGCACAGGGTACCACTATAACACAGGGTACCATCACAACACAGGGTACCGCCACAACACAGGGTACCACCACAACACAGGGTACTACCACAACACAGGGTACCACGACAACACAGGGTACCACCACAACACAGGGTACCACGACAACACACGGTACCACCACAGCACAGGGTACCACCACAACACACGGTACCACCACAACACACGGTACCACCACAGCACAGGGTACCACCACAACACAGGGTACCACCACAACACAGGGTACCACCACAACACAGGGTACCACCACAACACAGGGTACCACCACAACACAGGGTACTACCACAACACAGGGTACCACGACAACACAGGGTACCACCACAACACAGGGTACCACCACAACACAGGGTACCACCACAACACAGGGTACCACCACAGCACAGGGTACCACCACAACACAGGGTACCACCACAACACAGGGTACCACCACAACACAGGGTACCACCACAACACAGGGTACTACCACAACACAGGGTACCACGACAACACAGGGTACCACCACAACACAGGGTACCACGACAACACAGGGTACCACCACAACACACGGTACCACCACAGCACAGGGTACCACCACAGCACAGGGTACCACCACAGCACAGGGTACCATCACAACACAGGGTACCACCACAGCACAGGGTCCCATCACAACACAGGGTACCACCACAGCAAAGGGTACCACCACAACACAGGGTACCACCACAGCACAGGGTACCACCACAACACAGGGTACCACCACAACACAGGGTACCACCACAGCACAGGGTACCGCCACAGCACAGGGTACCATCACAACACAGGGTACCACCACAACACAGGGTACCACCACAGCACAGGGTACCACCACAACACAGGGTACCACCACAACACAGGGTACCATCACAACACAGGGTACCACCACAGCACAGGGTACCACCACAACACAGGGTACCGCCACAGCACAGGGTACCACCACAACACAGGGTACCGCCACAGCACAGGGTACCGCCACAACACAGGGTACCGCCACAGCACAGGGTACCACCACAACACAGGGTACCACCACAGCACAGGGTACCACCACAACACAGGGTACCGCCACAGCACAGGGTACCACCACAACACAGGGTACCACCACAGCACAGGGTACCGCCACAGCACAGGGTACCACGACAGCACAGGGTACCGCCACAACACAGGGTACCGCCACAGCACAGGGTACCACCACAACACAGGGTACCACCACAGCACAGGGTACCACGACAGCACAGGGTACCACCACAGCAAAGGGTACCACCACAGCACAGGGTACCACCACAGCAAAGGGTACCACCACAACACAGGGTACCACCACAACACAGGGTACCACCACAGCACAGGGTACCACCACAGCAAAGGGTACCACCACAGCACAGGGTACCACCACCACAACACAGGGTACCACCACAACACAGGGTTTGTCCACACCGTGGGTCACGTCAGGGACGGGTCTCCCTCCAGGATTCGGCCACAACCATATTAGAGACAAACCTTACCGAAAAAACCTAAAATATGAAACCTTAATACACAAAGCGCTACGGCACGGAAGCGGGGGGAGGAGACGAGATGGCAACACCACCAACCTCGCGGTCACGGAGCCGCTCCCCGTCGAGCAGCTTGAAGATCTCAGCGCACTCGCCCGAGATCTTCACGAAGCCCTCCACCACGTCGTGCAGCCCCTCCGCGGGCAGCTGCTTGCTCAGCGAGACGAACGTCTCCAGCGCTAAGCACCACGCAGTGGACAGGACGGGCAGTCATGCTCACGGCACTGGCACAGCACATCCACAGCACTGGCACAGAAACAGCACAGAGACAGCACAGACACAGCACTGGCACAGAGACAGCACAGACATAGTACAAGGACAGAGACAGACACAGCACTGACAGAGACAGCACAGACACAGCACTGACAGAAACAGCACTGACAGAGACAGCCCAGACAGAGTCCAGGGCGAGCACATCCACAGCACTGGCACAGACACAGCACAGACACAGCACAAGGACCGCAGAACCACACAACTGGCACAGTCACCGCACAGGGACAGTACAGATACAGCACTGGCCACGTCACCCTTCACAAAGCACGCGGGGGGGGGGGCTCAGCTACAAACGGTGGGGGGCACGGGCTGAACCTGCTGAGAGCAGGGGGACGTGAGGGATATGGGGGGGGGGGTGTTCGGCCACGTGCTGCGTCTCACCCCGCAGCGCGGTATCCGTGTGCTGCAGCAGCTGCTTGAAGCGCGTGGCCGTGAATTCCTCCTCCTCCTCCTGCTCCCCGTGCTTCTCTTGTTTTTCGTCGGCGCGTGCCACCTTGGGGGGCCTGGCCTCCTCCCCCGCGTCTCCGTTCCCCCGCTTGGCCCCCATGGTGTCTCTGGCGCACACACCGCACACACACGCGTCTCTCACGTGCCCCCCCTCCCACACGTCTTACGTGCCCCCCCCCACACACAAATGTCTCTCACGTGCCCCCCACCACCACCACGTGCCCCCCACCACCACCACATGCCCCCCACACATACGCGTCTCTCACGTGCCCCCCACCACCACATGCCCCCCTCACACACACACGTCTTTCACGTGCCCCCCACCACCACCACGTACCCCCCCACACATACACGCGTCTCACGTGCCCCCCACCACCACCACGTGCCCCCCCACACACGCCTCTCACGTGCCCCCCACCACCACCACGTGCCCCCCACACACACGTCTCTCACGTGCCCCCCACCACCACCACGTGCCCCCCACACACACGTCTCTCACGTGCCCCCCACCACCACCACGTGCCCCCCACCACCACCACTTGCCCCCCACACACACGTCTCTCACGTGCCCCCCACCACCACCACGTGCCCCCCACACACACGTCTCTCACGTGCCCCCCACCACCACCACGTGCCCCCCACACACACGTCTCTCACGTGCCCCCCACCACCACCACGTGCCCCCCACCACCACCACGTGCCCCCCACCACCACCACGTGCCCCCCACACACACGTCTCTCACGTGCCCCCCACCACCACCACGTGCCCCCCACACAGTCTCTCACGTGCCCCCCACCACCACCACGTGCCCCCCACACACACGTCTCTCACGTGCCCCCCACCACCACCACGTGCCCCCCACCACCACCACGTGCCCCCCACACACACGTCTCTCACGTGCCCCCCACCACCACCACGTGCCCCCCACCACCACCACGTGTCTCCCACACACACGTCTCTCACGTGCCCCCCACCACCACCACGTGCCCCCCACCACCACCACGTGTCCCCCACACACACGCGTCTCTCACTTGCTCCACACGCGCTCCCCACCACCACGTGCCGGTACGCGCTGAGTGCCGTAAAGCAAAACTTTCGTGTCGTAAAGGTCGTCTGCCGTAAGGGCGGCGCTACTGTACCACAGTGTTTGCGACTTGTCGTAAATGTGAGTGTCGTACAGCATAGGTGCTGTAAGGTTGTGAGGATGGGACTGTACGGGTGTTTACGACTGTATCTACCGTAAAGGTCTATTTATTTACGACTGTCGTGAACACGGATGTCGTGAAACTAATTCCAAAAAGCCCGCAGACGATTCCGTGCAGCTCGCAACGTCAGAATCTTTGTTTACACCGGAGGAGGAACCCGACGAGCTATGAAGCTCTGTTCCACAGGTGTCCAGTCGGGGCGGGACAGTAAATTATATCAACAAACAGTACAAAACAGAGACAAGGTAAGCATGCCAATAACAAAACATCTACCAAGTACACATTGCACACATAACATACATTGCGCAAAGCGTGTTCGCCTACCGCAAAGCAGGTATTAAATTTACGACTGTCGTAAAGTGTCGTGAATGCGTGTCACGTGGTGGGCAGGCGCGGGAAGATGGCGCGAGGTGGCGAGGCCGCGGAGTCGCAGCCGCCGCCGCTCGTGGAGCTGCTGCTCGGGCCGCCCGCAGAGCAGCAGCGCGCCGAGAGGCTCTGCAGCGCCATCGCGCAGGTGACCAAGCCGCAGCAGCAGCAAGAGGCTTGGAGACGCGCGCCTGCGACAGCAGCGGTGGTGGCAGCGACCCCGGGGCCGCTGCTGTCGCTGCGGCTGCTGCGTTCTCATGGACGGGGAGAGAGCAGAGGAGCCATGGGCGTCCTCATGTTGTTGTTGTCGTCGTTGTTGCGTTTCGTCACCCAGGAGAACCTGTCTCGCCGAGTGGCAAGACTATTATCTCAGGAGGGTCATGCCAAGTTTGGCGCAGCATGGGGAACGATGTTGCTTTGTATCGGGGTTGCTTTTGTGTCGCTATGGGAGTAAAGCGGAGAGCCCGCAGGGAACCCATGCAGGGCAGAGGGAGAGAGAGATACAGACTCCCACACACTCGAGGAGGGCACTCGCTAGGGAGTCCTGCTAAGTTCTCGCAGTCCTGTAGTTTTCCATGCTACTTGCGCGTGTGTAGTGGTTAGGTCGACTCCACCTCAAGTGAGTACCTGGTGCGGCGTGTGGTAAACATCGCCACGAGGGAGATAAAGGCAGCGCCGTGCCTGTTTCCTTAGCTGCTCCCTAACAGCACTTGCCCCAACAGTCTGTTAAAGGCTACGCGGGGCTTGGTTATTAGCTGCCGACTGTGGTGTGTCCAGCACAGCTGGTGCATCTGCCAGTCATCTCAATTGACCCATGGCACCTGGGTCTGACCCGTGACATCCCGTGTCAGCGAACCTTCGACACGTGGCCTCAAAGTGCACCTAGCCTGGCACAAGCGCCGTGGTGACGATGAACGACTGTTGTTGCTGTCCGCGTGCGCTGTAGAGGGGAGTGGCGGCTCTTGGGAGTCTGAGCGGCATGGAGCACGCGCAGCTGGTGGCGCTGTACCGCGCCCACGTGCTGCCGCTGCCCCAGAGGGAGCTGAGAGGAGACTCGTACTGGGCCCGGCGAGTGACCCAGAGGGGCGGCACGCGCGCGGCTCAGCCAGCAGGGTCACCCGCGGGGTCACCAGCAGGGTACGTTTTGTGGGCACACCCCGAGTGTCACTCCTTGCATCCCACTGGGATTTTTGCACACAGCATTGATATACGGTGCTTTTTCTGGAAGACTTTGCTATTTTTTCCTGGATTTTTCTGTTTTGCGCGAAGTCACTTTAAGATGTTTCTTGTTCATGTTTTTGTTTGTTGCGGTTGCACCCGATTCAAGAGCCGAATGGCTCACAGGGCTATACCAAATAAATTAAACTGAAACACTACAGTACCACTAATGCTAACTACTAAGGGCGTCACGGTGGCTAGATGCCAACTCCCTCGCCTGGTATGTAGGAAGTCGTGGGTTCGATCCCGAACCTGATGCCTGTTGTATATTTGAGTTTGATTGTTCCTCCCGTGGTCGTGTCGATTTTTCTCCGGGTCCTCAGTTTTCTAGCCACATTTAGAATAAACAACACGTTTAGAGTACAGTAAAACCTTGGATTGCGAGCATAATTCGTTTCGGAAACGTGTTTGTAATCCAAAGCACTCGTACATCACAGCGAATTTCCCCATAAAAAATAATGTAAACTCAGATGATTCGTTCCATGTAATGTAAAATTATTAATACAAAATACCTTTATATTTTTATTATTTAAATTTAATGTAAAGTAATCAAATTTATTGTGGCTGGTGTGAGGGAGAGGAGAGGAGGAGGGGGCCATTGTTGCAGTACAGTTACTAAAGAACAGTCCCTACACTTGGACACAAATTAAAAAAATATTTTACACACACGTGGTCACAATACTATAGTAAACAATATACGCTCGCATAGATGTTGACTATACGAGTGAGGTACGCCGACTGAGACCGAGCATGGGCGACGATTACCCACAATCCCGCAGCGAGAGAGAGAGAGAAGAACCATCGGCTCAGTTGTGATCACGTGACGCTCGGCAGACAAAGCGTATACTGTACGTACTACTCGTATTGCAAGACCTCGCTCGTTTATCAAGTTAAAATTTATCAAAAAATTTGCTCGTCTTGCAAAACACTCGCAGACCAAGTTACTCGCAATCCAAGGTTTTACTGTATTTGGCCGCAATACATTTCCAGATGATAAGCCACTTCGTTGGGCTATCATCTGTGGCCAGGTTGCTTCTGAAAAAGAGCTATATGGCTCAGTGGGCTTTGCTTGGTAAAATAAAACATTATTTAGTTTAGTTTTACTAACTACACTCGTTTATCCAGGGAAGCCTCACTTAAGATTTTTCAGGAGGGTACTGCCAAGTTTTCGCAGACGGGAGTGATGCTACTGTTATGTGTTTATCCCAATTGAGTAATTTGCTGAAGTTAATTTTGAGCATTGGGATGTTGTGGTCTTTTTAGCTATGGGAGGAAATTGGAGCAGCTGGAGGAAACTCGTGCAGAATAGGAGAGAATACAAACTCTCTCACACACACACCCGCTTACACGCATTCTCACTCACGTATACACTCTGCAGAACAGGGAGTTGAACATACAAAGGCCACACAAAAAGGCCACGCAGAAAGGCACCCCGGTTGGGAACCTAACCAAGGCCCTTCTTGTTGTGAGGCATGAGCGTTACCACTGAGCCATCCAGGCACGCTGGGCTGCAGCAATAACGCAGACCCCGTGACCCATATGGAAATGTGAGTTATTCAGTAATTGTGCAGTGCAGATATCACAGGTGATATTGTGAGAAGGGAATGGGTTCGATTTACAACTCTTTCTGTGTGGAGTCTGTATGTTCTCCCCTGTTCTGCATAGGTTTTCTCCCATAAATAAAACAGCAGTATTACTGGTATTGGCCAAACATCCCCATGTTGAAACATTCCCTGCAAATTATTCATCGCCCCCGCACTAATTATTGCAGACTGCCAAAAATAGCACATTTCGTGATAATAATAATAATAGTACAATTTGTAACACGCGCAAATTTGCAGACGTAGTGGCCGCAACTCAGAGGCGCGGAGCCAAGCTCAGAGTCGCTCAAAAGCATGATTGTAGAGGTGAGTTTTTAAGTGTCTCTTGAAGGAGGCGATTGAGGTGATGCTGCGAATGTGCAGAGGGATATCGTTCCAGACTTTTGGGGCTGCCACCGAGAAGCGGCACGTAGACATGACCATCCTGGATCTTGGTATCAAGAGGAGGTCGTGAGTCGCGCTGCGCAGGCATCTGCCGTGTGCTGAGCTGCAAGTTGTCAATAATGAAGAAAGATACGGCGGGCACGCGGGTATGAAGGCATTGTGGCAGAGGCAGGCGGTCTTGTATGTGACCCTACTGGCGATAGGGAGCCAGTTGAGAGCGCGGAGACGAGCTTGTGAGCCGAGGCGGGGATGAGTGTGGGCAATGACGACGCGTGCTAGGTTATTTTGTAGTCTTTGAAGTTTCTTTAGGTTGCCAGCGGAGGTCCAGACAAGGACGGAGTTACAATAGTCAAGGCGAGACCCAACTATGCAACATGCCAAAGTGTTGCCAATTTCATTAGAGATGAGATGACGTATGTGTCTAAGAGCCTTCAGGTGAAAGTTACATGAGCTGATGATATGGTTGGTTTGACGGTCGAAGGATAAAGTTGAATCTAGGATGACACCGAGGTAGCTGAAGTGGTCGGTGAACTTGATGCTGTGACCGAAGATGTGTATGTGTGTGGGGAGTGCTGCTGAATTGAGACGTTGCTTGGTACCTAACATGATGGCCACTGACTTTTTCGGATTAAGGGCTAGGTTGTGTGCAGTGAACCATTGTTGCACGGCGGTGGTACATTCCGAGAGCCTCTCGAATCCAGATGCATTGCTAGAATCGATGGCGGTGAATAGAATCGTGTCATCCGCGTATGAGTGATGCTTAACACCGAAGCTTGCAATGAGCCGGCCGATCGGGGAAGTGTAGGCTGTGAAGAGCAGGGGACCTAGAACAGAGCCCTGGGGAACCCCGCATAATGCTGTTGTTTCAGGCGATGTGGACATGCCCACCCTGACTGAAGATTGCCGGTCAGAAAGGTACGAAGCTATCCACTTGAGTGCTGAGCCGTATATACCGAAGTCGGATTTCAGGAGGGAAGTAAGGAGCGAATGGTTGATGGTGTCGAAGGCTGACGAAATGTCCAGACTTACAAGTGCAACAGTTGAGCCGGAATCAATGATCGTTAAAATGTCATCGAGCACTCTAGTGAGTGCTGTTTCTGTGGAATAGTTTTGACGGTAAGCTGACTGGAAGTAGCAGTAGTTTGCGGAGGAGGTGACGTGTGGTTGTAACTGGGCGAGGGCTAGTCGTTCAAGGAGTTTAGAGAGGTTCGAGAGGTTAGTGATGGGACGATAACTAGATGGATCATCCGGATCTAGATTTGGTTTCTTTAACAAGGGAGAAACCAGGCCAGATTTGAGGTTGGATGGAAAACACCCCGAAGAGAAGGAGGCATTTGCGATGTTCCTGATCATGATGGCGAGTTCCGGAGCACATTGCTTGAACAAGGAACCTGGGAGCACGTCGAGTGGAGATGACTTCAAATGAAGTGATTCAATTAAAGCGAAAACGTCTTTTGTAGACACAGGCTTTAGCATAGTTAGAAGAGTGTCTGGGTTAGTGCTTACAATTTTAGGTACCATGAGCGGGGTACAATGGTGCAATGTGTCAGTAGACGTGCACGAGTTTGCGATGGCGATTAGCTTGTTGAAGTAAGTATTAAAAGAGGTGGCAAGTTTCAGTGAGGCAAGGGGATCGCTAAGGTGAGGGACCATAGTGCTACCAGGATGGAGAAGATCTTTGAGGGTTTTCCATAGAATGCCCAGGGTTCCGGTTGCTTTTTTGATGCGTTCCTCAATGTGGGAGGAACGTGAGACAAGGATCAGTTTGTTAGTTTTCCTGCAGGCGACTCTGTAAGCAAGTCGATCAGCAGGTAGACCACTGCGGGATGCGATACGTTCAAGGCGCCTCCTGGTTCGCTTAGCAATGATGGCATCTCTTGAGAGCCGTGAGTGTCGTGAGAAGACTGCCTAGCGGTTCGTGATTTTAATGGAGCTAGTTTGTCCAGCGCCGCCCTCATGTCAGCTTCTAGTTGGAGAGCGCAGACGGTTGGATCCGATGATGGGGATAACATTGAAAGCGAGTTTGCAAGGAGGTGACGAAAAGCGGGAAATGCGATACCCTTGAAATTACGCAAGTTGCGGGTGAATTTGATGGTGATTGGCTTGGGAAATTGGAGGGAAGAAAGTATGAGGCGGTGGTCGGAGTAACCAGTTTGGAAAACTCCCAGTGCAGTGATGCGTCGGTGCTGGTTAGGTTCCAGAACCAGGTCGAGCATGCTCTCAACGTTTGTTGACAAAGCTCTGGTGGGGCCTGAGTTTGTAATGACCAGGTTATGGCAGGCCAAAGTTGACTCAAGGTGACTATCGATGGAGGCTGGGGTATTGCCGGGGCAATTAAAGTCACCTGTAAGCACGAGCCTGTGAGATGGGTTAGGAATCAGATATAGGAATTCCGAAAGCTCATTTAAGAAGGTTTTGATGCTGCCATCTGGAGGGCGATAGATGGAAATTATGGAAAAGCACTCATTGTTAGTAGTAAGGGATACGGACTGGACCTCGAATGTGGCCTGAGCCATTGGTAGATGGAGCTCTTTAATTTTCAAGTGAGCATTGTAAACGACCGCTAAGCCACCACCCCGCTGGTTAGTTGCGCGAGGTTTATGTAGAACCTTGTATCCTGGGGGCGCAACTTCCAGAGAGATAGCTGGCGGGGAGTCTTGCCTGCACCAGGTCTCAGTGATGAGCAAAAGGTCGATGTGGTGGTCCGAGATGGTGTCGTGAATCAGGGCTGATTTATTGGTGATGGAGCGTGCGTTGAGCAGGCCGAGGCGGATATGTGAAGGTAGATGTGAAGATCCGTGCAGGTGAGGCGTCGAGGGAACAGAGGAGTTGGCTGGTTCGAGGTCGACCTGTGAACGGCGGCCCCTACCACCTCTGCAACCACGGTGCCGATGCAGTCTCCGACGTTGGCCTCGGAGAAGCCCAAGGACAGAGAGCGTCCTCAGGAGCACGGGTTGCAGGTGCAGATGATGAAGAGATAGTGCGAGTCGTAGCCCTATTATATCAGCCCGTGCTGCAACGATGGTGCGGATGAAGGGGCCCGGATTCGGGTGGACTCCAATCAGCGGCTCTGCTGCCCTGAGCAGCAAGTCGAGGTGTCGTTGTCCAAGCTCCACGCTGTCAGCAAGCACTTCCCTGTAGGTAGCGGATGCAAACACGCCCGTGTAAACACTCGTTGAGCGCGTACACGGGCGTACAGAACCACGCAGGCGGGGCGTACAATGGAGCAGCCAGAAGAACACGAAGTCTAGTGGATTAGCTGACCACGCTCTGTGCTCCAGCTCGCAGGTGATGCAGCAGGATGGACGTACCTCGCAGAGCTCCCGTTCACTGGTGGTGCTGGGCAGCAGGCAAGCCAACTCTCTCGTGTTGAGGAGATGACAGTCTGCTTCGCGTTCCCACTCGCTGATGGTGGTGAACGTTGGACGGAGCACGTAGATCTCCCACTTGCTGGCGATGCTGGGGCATGCCAAGCTCACAGGCGCTGATGGTACCGGAAGAGGTGCCTTGTGAGGACGTTGCTGGTAGAAACCGTGCCCGGGGCGGATGTTAAGCCGCGCCGCATGAACAAAACAGCCATCGTCCTCCAGCTTCGTGAATCGAAGCAACAGGCCTCGTTTACTCGCACTGCCCAACAGCTGTGCAATGCGGCAGTTAAGGCGAGTTGTGTGGCACTGCAGTAAACGGCATTTGTCGGCTGTTGTAGCGCCGTGGGGCGTGTGCAGTGAACACGGAGGCGGGCGGGTTTGGGTGCAGGGATCGGCCGCCACCCAAAACTCGGGCGACGCCAAAGTAATAATGAAAATAATGAAACAAAATAAATTATATGAAAAATGTAATGGAAGATGAAAGTAAGAAGAGTGGTGGTGAGTGAAGAAGGACGTGGGTAAGGTACGGGGTGTGGTTACGGTTGTTAAACTGTGAGAGCGATCCGGGACTGCAGCCAGCTGCGGCGCTGTCGCCATCTTGCTAAGAATGGCGCAAATACCTAATGCACTCAATTCTAAATATTTACACTTTTCATTAGTATTTCGTGTAAATATAACCTTGGATTATAATTTTTTGTGACTCGTAAAATAACCAGTGCCAAAATGCTGCTCTCCTTCCCAGATTGAAACATTGGAATGAAAACCGCAAGCGGCCTCTGATAGTTTTCGACGGAGCGTCGACAAAAACGGTGATTAAAGTGCGGCGCGTCTCGGCAGAGGGAGGAGGCACCAATCCTCCAGCCACAGAAGGAAAAGTCGCCATCAAAAGCCCAGTGCCCAGCCTGGCCCAAGTCTCTCCCAGACTCCCGGAGCCCTCGAATGGGGCAGCGCCTACCTCCCCGAGCTGCGTACTCTCGAAGGGTGCAACTGCACCCGGCGGCGACGCCGTGGGCTCGATCAAGGTGAAGAGAGTGCCGAGCGTGGACCCCAAACGCGAGGTGGGTACGAGTGGTTAGGGAGATAGGGTCACACTCACTGTCAATCCGCAGGCTCTACGAGCACTGAAATGACACCATTCATAGTCCATGCGCTAGAGCAGAAATTAGTACGACCTCAGATCCCATCCCTCTCTGCACCTCCCTTGCTCTGCGCCCAGTCTCGCTCTCTCGCTCCTATTCCCTTCTCGCTCCCCTTCCCTGGAACCAACTCCACCAGCAGCAAATAGAGCAACCATCACCATTATCACCTGCAAAGGAAAGCTGTTTTGGGTGTGGACCAATCAACTTCAAGGACAGTGCATACATTATCAGAGTTATGTTTTTTGTTTGCATTACGACTGCAGGTATTGTGGTCTATGCAAACATGACTCCTTGTAAAAAAGGTGTCAGTTTTGTTGCCCGATAAAAGGGTAAAACACCAATTATATTTTTCTACTGGCAAATGAGGTTCCAATGGTGTAAATGCTTATCCCGAGCTCTCATACTCTGATAGTGCATTGTCTTTGAGTTGTGCGCCTTTTGGCGTCATCTGGTCCAACACCATGTGAGACTAGGCTCTAAGGAAAGCTGTCTCAGGTGTGGACCAATCAACTTCAAGGACAGTGCATACATTATCAGAGTTATGTTTTTTGTTTGCATTACGACTGCAGGTATTGTGGTCTATGCAAACATGACTCCTTGTAAAAAAGGTGTCAGTTTTTTTGGCAGATAAAAGGGTAAAAAAACAATTCTAATATTTTTCTACTGGCAAATGAGGTTCCAATGGTGTAAATGCTTACCCCGAGCTCTCATACTCTGATGATGCATTGTCTTTGAGTTGTGCGCCTTTTGGCGTCATCTGGTCCAACACCATGTGAGACTAGGCTCTAAGGAAAGCTGTCTTGGGTGTGGACCAATCAACTTCAAGGACTGCATCCATTATCAGAGTTATGTTTTTTGTTTGCATTATGACTGCAGGTATTGTAGTCTATGCAAACATGACTCCTTGTAAAAAAAGGTGTCAGTTTTGTTGCCAGATAAAAGGGTAAAAAAACAATTATCATATTTTTCTACTGGCAAATGAGGTTCCAATGGTGTAAACCTCAATCTCATAATCAACGTTTTTGGGAGAGATCGCATTATTTATAAATGTGTCGTAACCCTCCACCACCCGACACGGCCAATCAGCAAAACAAGTGTCACGTTGATAAAGACAAATAGTTCACTGCTTTAGCCCACCGTTGGGTTGAAGCATGAAACCACAACATTTACAATTTTTTGAGTACGACGTTTCGCTGGTAATTGCATCCAGCATTATCGGGCAATTCGCCAGAATGGTGAGGCTCTGCTCTTGCTCCCGGTCTTAAATAGAGCAGCAGTAGGGTGACGTCATCATTTAACTCATCAGGTACAACGATTTGAGGCGGAGGGGAGGGGGGGTTATTGTAATTATATACTAGATTAGTAATCAGGCAATTGTTACGATGTTAGTTGTAGCTTAGTTGTAATGTGTTATTGGAATTATATGCTACGTTAGTAATCAGTTAATTAGTTTTTGTTTCCCCTATAAGGAATTGTAATATGTATTATTTAATAATACGCTTCCAGGCCGCACTAAGCCTGTAGCTGTCTGAGCGGTTAAAGTTATTTCTGTTTCTCTCAATTTCAATGGATTCTCTAATTAGTTTTTGCCAGTAGTAACTAGTTTTACACAACACTTCAACGTTATCAAAATCAATTGAGTATCCCTGTTGGCAAGCATGTTCTGCCACTGCCGACAGTTGTATTTGAGATAGTTTAATATTTCTCTGGTGTTCTTTTAGTCTTGTACTAATGTTACGCCCCATCTGTCCAATATAGCATCTGCCACATAAACAATTAATCCGATATACACCTTCTGTTGATAATTTAGGCAATTCGTCTTTAGTGCAAGTTACTAGTTTTTGAATTGTGTGTACTGTACCAAATCTTACTGTAATGTTTTGCTTTTGCAAAACACCGGCTAATTTGTCAGTTACTCCTGAGATATATGGTATTTTAATTGTTTTAACAATCTGATCGCTTTCAGCAGTGTTGCTTTGCGATCGTGATTTGGAATTTAGTGCTCTATTAATTTGAGCATTATTGTAGCCATTCTATATTAGTGCTTCTTTAACGTGTTTAATCTCTCACGAGACTTTCACCATCTGACACTGTTTTAGCCCGATGTATGAGCATCTTGAGAAGAGAGGATTTCTGAGTTGGGTGATTATGCGAATCTGCATTCAGATAGGCATCAGTGTGTGTTTGCTTTCTGTAAACGCTGTGTGTTATTTTACCATTTAGGCCATGTCCAAGTAAAATATCCAGGAACGGGAGTGTATTATTCACCTCCATTTCCATGGTGAACTGGATGGCCGGGTTTTGTGCATTGAGATGATTTAGAAAATCGTTAAGTGTATCTTTACCATGTGGCCAGACAACCAAAGTGTCATCCACATATCTAAACCAAAAGGATGGTTTTAATGTGCTCGAGGCAAGTGCTCTTGTTTAAAAGTTTTCCATGTACAAATTTGCTATAGCAGGGGATAAAGGAGAGCCCATTGCTGCTCCTTCCCTTTGTTTAAAGAATTTTGCCTCTCCATAAGAAGTGTTATTTAAACAATGGTCAGCGAGTTTCAGAATATCTTTTGGTAAACCTGCAGGGATTCATATTTTTGGTTCTTTCGGCAAAGTCACGCGACTTTACCGAAAGAACCAAGAATATGTAACCGGAAACGAGTGAACTTAAAACAGTAAATAAGTAACAAAAGTAAATATCCAAGAAACAAGTAACACATAACTGGTAGATAAGTAAGTACAGTTTTAGTACTGGTAGATTGCACACTGCAGGAGATAATAGTGGCACTACGGTAATGCCGTCGCCTCGCCCCCAACCCCCCACCTCTCTCCCCCCCAGCTGCCCCACCTCCCAGCTATCCCGTCGCCGGTAAACAGTGCGCGCACTTCAAACATTGTCGTTTAATTGTGCAAACAATTTATTTAAAACGTGATAACGTGCAATTTGAGTGCAAGAGGTGTATTCAGCAGTGCTTTAGTCAAAGGTAAGTGTTGCTTAGTGGATAGTCCTACTATGAAAAAAAATTAACGAGTTATGACATGTCACACGTGTAAAATATTTTTGGGATAACCCGCACCTCCATATACCCCGCAGGGTCTTGTTTTGTTTGTAAAAAGTGGTATACCAAGTGGGTTATATGCTGGAAAATACGGTAATTATCAAATAAACTAGGTTGTTGGGGGGCGCCTATGGCGTAATGGACAGAGCACGGCTCTCCCTCAGGGCAGCAGTGGAGAGAGCGCGGCTCTCCCTCGAGTCAGCAGTGGAGAGCACGGGGGTCCCTCAGAGCAGCAGTAGACGGAGCACGGCTCTGCCTCACTCACTCACCCGTCTCCTCTGAGCTGCATGCGATTGTGTGTGAGTGAGTGAGCTGTGTGAGTGAGTGAGCCGTGTGTGAGTGGATCGACCGTCAGCTTTCCGTGGCTGCGTCTCCGGCGCTGTGGCCGTGATGTTGCTGCTTCTCGGGCCTCCGAGGTGTGGGGTGTACCACAACATAAAGTGGGCAGCTCGCGGTCACGTGACGCACTTCAACCAATCCGGGGGCACGCGGTCACGTGACGCACTTCAATCCGTGGCGCGTTAATCACAGTCACAGAATGACAGAGGGACAGATCTGGGCTATTATCAAATAAATTAGCCATTGTTGGGCTACAGAAAACGGAAGCACTAAACTTCCGCCACCTTAGGTGGTGACAAGTGAAGGACATTTGCTCTGGGCTCATGGAGCAATCGGACCCAGGTGGTTGGTCTCGCGACTATGGGTCACACCGTGGAGCTTTCTGCGGTCTTTCAACCGTGGCTGTGTCTTTTGTTTCCTGCAGGAGAAGTCGGTCGGGAGCCCTGAAGTGAAGTCAAAAATCCAGCGCATCAAGTGGCCCTGATCCCCAGGGCCTGCGCCGCTCTCACACACCCCCCAGTAGTTTTGCGCGCTGCCGCCGCCGTGCGTGCAAACCGCAAGTTTTTATTTTCAGGCGTTTTGTCGGGTTGTTTTTACGCAAGGCTCACACAGAGGTCACGTCCTTTATGTTATTTTGTGTTCCTTTAAGAGTCCCTCGTATGTTTTTAGCACGCAAAGGCATTGTTGACAGTGGTGTTGTACATATGTAGGGGGGTACGTCATGTTTTTGAAGACAAATGCCATCCTTAAAACTCGGCCTAGCATCGAGGCTTGTTGTTAAGCTCCACCTTGTGTGCCGACCTTCGTGATGTTGGGATTGGTTAACAGTAAGCGCAAAACTCAAGGTTGTGTACTTTTCTAATCCTGTTTGGGAGATTTATTTCCTGTGAAACATGGACGAATGAACGTGTGGCTTCGACAATGTTCACCTTGCTCCGTTTAATGCATACGGCGAGTCCTCGCTTAGCGCGCGGCATTCACACACAACGCGCTTTCACTGACACGGTTCTTCCATTAGGGAACACTTCTCGCACAACGCGGAATGCATCCCTTAACGCGGATTGCTCATCGTTAAAATGCGGAACGCACATCGTTATTACGCATTCCGTGGTCGACGATGAATTACTTTCTTGAGCTGCGCGGCCGAGCAGTGATACAGTATTCAGTAGCGCTGTGGTGCGCCCTCGGTTATTAGTCCTGCCATCTCACCGCTTGTACGTGGGTACATCGTATCTCGCCAAACTTATTACGGGGAAGTTTTTTTAAAAGCGTTTTTTGCTTAATGCGCCACTTTTCAGGAACGCATCTACCACTACCGTGTTAAACGAGGACTTGCTGTATAAATGCTGGCCATGAGCGACGGAAGAATCGCATTCAGCTGCAAGCACATGAGCGTTGCGACCATGCAGGTGGACTGGTTTTAAATCGCAGCGTGCTATGTACGTTACATATCCAATGTAATAATGCATGGGTGATACATGTACTTTGCTGTTTGTTTTCAGTGCAATTACTTGATTAAATTAATAAGCTTAACAGTTTAGTCTCATCTCACGCTGGTTTGCTTCCAAGTTCTACGTTCTACTTGTGTTATTTGATCTGTCCGCAGTGACTGAACATTAAACCTTTACATCTTTGGATGTCTTTTCATATATATCTTTGGGCGTCACAGTGGTGGCAAAGTAGTGACACGCGCATCTAGGTTCGATTTCCAACTCGGGTGCCGTGCGGAGCTTGTATGTCCTCTCTCCTCCTGTTCTGCATGGGTTTCCTCTGGGTTCTCCAGTTTCATCCCATAGCGAACACAACAGGCAGTGTAACTGGTATTGACTAAATATCCCAATCGTGAAAAATGACTCAATTGGGATTGCACACAACAGCAACTTTGCATAACCCCCAAATATTTTTATGAACCCATTGGCTTTTACCCAAAAAATCCCGAAAATGACCCATTTACAGGATGCTTTGAATTTGTGGTGCAACTTGTATAAATACTTAAATGTTTGTAACCATAGACAGTCTTTAAAGTTTATCTCTGTAAGTAAAGCAGTTGCTGGGTTGTGGGTAAACGTTGAAATCATACGAGGTCAACATTTATCTTTAACTTAAGTTGCTCTTTAAGGGCTTACACGGTAACAAATGCACACGTGTTGAATTTAATAAAACGAAGGAAATGGGCCAGAGCATAGCTGTCCAGTATTCTGTATGTGGACTGAATTTTTTTTTTTGCAATGTTAATGCTGCCATTAAACCTAGATCTGCACTTGTGAACATGGCTTTTCTCCTGAACTCCGCACTGTTAATGTTTTCCGTGGTCATCAACAACGAGATGGTTGAAATCGATGATTAAAAACCATTTTATTTGGGGGGGGAAAGCATTTAAAGCCATGCACAAACACAGTGAATACATCCCTGACGACCACCAATGGGGAAGCTTAGAGCATTAGCCAGCCTCACCAACGCCAATCCGACACTGCATGCAACTTTTGAAGCCAACACTGCTTGGCGCGCAATTAAAAACCTCCTTCAAGAATTGATTTTTACCATCGTGTTAAAACAGACGTTCAACTTCAGTAGGTTCCTGCACCAAATACTAGGTACCGTTAACTCGTTAAATGGACCACAAATTAACGTGAATTTCCTAAAACCGTTTGTTACCATCACCACAATACACTGCCTCATCACACGTGGAATATGTAATGCTAAAACTACACGTGTTGCGACACCACTATGGCCTACTGTACATGTACCCGAGCGCTGCTGATGCATCACCACGCTACTCACTACGTGCACAGACGTCAAGAACGAGCAGACAGCAAACACCGACCCCCAGCGCATCAGTCCGAGAGTGATGGCATTTCATTAACCGTTTAAAGATTACCCCAAATACACTCACCGAGATCCAAGCTACGCTTGCCATGATTATCACTGCACGGGAATAATAAACTTGATTTGTGCTCAAAAACCTAAGAGCCGGGCGTGCTGCTCCCGGACAAACTGATGTCCTGGCCAGGAGAATTAGATGTTTCCGATTAATTTCCTGCACACCATGAAGAGAGTAACTTTGCCAATACGCTTGATTTTACAAATATGTAGGAAATGGGTTAAAAGTAGGACGCATCAGGCACTTTCTTTGAATCCATCTGCCTGGCTGGTCCCTCAGCCTTCAGCATCAGCCACTGGTACACCTGCAGAAGGACAGCACAAGCAGCGGACCGTCAGGCCAAGCAGGAAGGTCAAACGCCCAAAGGTGACATTTTCATGATGCTTGTTTACCCAGGAAAGCCTCAATGAGTCGAGACTTTTTTCAGGAGTGTCCTGCCAAACGTTCACAATCTATGGCTATGTTGCTGTGTGTGTAATCCCAATGGAGTAAATTTGCAGTGTAATTTTTCAATAAAGTCACGTATAAAGATAAAATAATAAATTAAATAATAGCATACGATGTTTCGATTGCAACACAAGCAATCATAATCAGGTATAATGAAATAGCGACATAGAATCTAACCAGAAAACTATAGACAGATATATAAGCAGACAGATATCACCAAGATACATAAAAACAAGAGGAACGGAGACACAGACAGAGCAGAACCTAAGAACGCCTGTCTGTGTGTCTCCGTTCCTCTTGTTTTAATGTTTTGTCTTTCTTTGGAATTTTCACACTTAAATCTTTGAAATACGTAATCGACCAGGCTATGCATTAATTGTGTGTTGACCGACTCTCTGTGTCGTTTTACATAACATTTCGATACTTTGCTAGGTTATTTAATTTAGTGTGTTCTGTCTCCCTCTAAACCTGCTTACTTTACTACCACTCCCTTCGTACTCATTGACATGTAAATTTTTTCCCTACCCCCTCCCTCTCTCTGCCTCCGCCCCCCTCTGTCTATTTAAGGCCACCCCACAGAGATGATCACCCCTCTCTGGTTCCTGTGTTGCTCTATGTATCTTGGTGATATCTGTCTGCTTATATGTCTGTCTATAGTCTTCTGGTTAGATTCTATGTCGCTATTTCATTATACCTGATGATGATTGCTTGTGTTGCAATCGAAACGTCGTATGCTATTATTTAATTTATTATTTTATCTTTATACGTGACTTTACCGAAAAAACCAAAGAATAATTCCTGCAGTCACGAAAGCTCCAAATTAAGATTGTAATTTTTCAAGTTTTGCAATTTGGACCAAGACGGCATACAACTACTCGTTTAGAATTACAGCACGGGATCTTCAATGTCCGCTCTGAAGCAGTTGGCACGTACTTTATGGTTAATAGACTGATCCCTTGCCCATCGCGGGAGTTATGGACTTGATAAAAGCCACAATTGGCAAATCCGCGATCCGCACACTCAAATCAAATGGGTAACAGGGTTTGATTCACGGTTTGTAATATGACACCCACCCCTCCTTTTGTTTTACGTTACTCAACATCAACCCAAACATTAAACAGTATTTTGAATGTAAAATTTGATTAATATTTTCTATGGTAAATGTATAGAAAAAAATTACGTAGAGTATTGTAAATTACAGGAAGAAAAATTGCGTGTGGCTGATCCTCACTGGAGTCTGGGAACACCGCGTGACCTGGGACCCCGCCGCTTGGAAGACAAGATGGAGACAAGACGGCACTGCGTGTTCTTCCGTTGGCAGCATCATCAAGAGTAGCGCAGTTACGACGTGAACAGAAATCTCGCTGTCAACCGCGAATGGTGGAACCATGGGCATGATCAGCGAACTGTACCTCCATTAATTTGGCGCGAAAGCAAAAAACCGCGATAGCTAAACCGGCGAGAGGGAAGCATTTGCTCTACACATCACGGTATTAACCAGGATGGCCTGCTAGATGTAAACCACAAACCTCTGCAACAAGCGGTGAATGTGCACTACAACTCAGCCACTCACCGCCCCCACACACATTAGGCCTCATCATAACGGTCCCCGTATGTAATCTGAGTCAGCCACAACCTCGACTGAGCCGCCTCACGGTGCGCACCTGTCGGGGGGGAGCCTAGAGGTCGGAGTCAAACCAGGCCATGTGGCCGTTCTCGCCGGGGTGCGGCGGCAGCCCGTTCATATCCTGGCGGGGCAGGTCCTGGTGGGATAGGTCTCCCATCCCGTCCGGGAAGTCCTGGCTTCTGTGAGGCCCTCCCAGCTCATGATCCAGCATGGGCTCCATGCCCATTGGCTCTCCAGGGTAGCCTGCATGTGCAGAGCACCATAGGCAACAGTCCACACTGAACACCTGCACAGGAATTGTATTCAATATTGCAATCCACAAGTTTAATTAATTAATCCAATTATAGAATTCGAATAATTTATCCTGGAATAATCTGATTAGCTATAAAGCTCTTTTTCAGATATCCGGTAGTTCACAGATGTCCAAAGAAAGTGTGTGATGCATCCCACTTTTAACATTCCATTTAGCCTGTTTAAACAAGAAAGCCTCACTGAGTGTCAAGACTCTTATCTCAGGAGGGTCCCGCCAACTTTTTACAGCATGGGATGATGTTGCTTTATGTGTTTTTTTAGCTATGGGTGTAAAGTGGAGAACATGGGAAAACCCCATGCAGAACAGGGGGAGAGACAACATACAAACTCTCACACAAAACAAAGATTCCCCCATATAGCCTTAACAAACTGTTGGGGCAAGTGCTGTTAGCAAGCACCTATAAAGGCCACCACGGCACACGGGGGGACTGGGTGGCCACCACCATACCTGGCCGCCTTTGTCTTCCGAGTGGCGATGTTTACACACTGCACGAGGTACTCATTTTGGAGGGGGGGGGGGTGTCGACCTAAGGGAGGCCCAGAACCAGTACAGATAACACTAACACAATTTTTGTTCCTGGGTAGTAAGTGTTATTTCGGAATTGCTTATGCTTAATAAGTATAGAAAATGGCTATTTTCCCCCACAAACTTTGCTTTTGTGAACAGGACAGTGATATTTAGAAATTTACCTATTTTCAATGAGAAAATGGGCGAATTTGTGTCTTTTCGTTCACATAAAGTCAGAAAAAAACAACATTAATCAAAATTAACATGCATTTATCAAGTAATACAAAGATGGCTACTAAAGATTTAGAAGTCGTTTTTCGAGATTTATGATTATACTGTAAATCACTTTCACGAATCAGCCCCCAAATGTAGTCTCGCATCATGTTCTCGTTATACTGTCCTTGGTAGCGGCGTTTAAAGTCCAGTATATCCTGGTGGAAGCGCTCGCCTTGCTCCTCCGAGTACGCTCCAATGTTCTCCTGGAATTTATCAAGATGAGCAAGGATATGGATTTTGAGGAACATCCAACAGCCCATTGTGCCGTAGTTCTTCACCAGTCTCAACTAGTTCCACCTTGTGATTTCCCAGGAAGCCACAAACCACTGCGACAAAGCTGTTCCAAGCTGCTTTCTCCTTACTAGTGAGCTTCTTGGGGAATTCATTGCACTCCAGGATCTTCTTTATCTGTGGTACGACGAAGACACCAGCTTTGATATTTGCCTCAGACAGCTTAGGGAAGAAGTCTTGAAGGTACTTGACGGCTGCCGACTCCTTATCTACAGCTCTGACAAATTGTTTCACAAGGCCCAATTTGATGTGCAGTGGTGGCATCAGCACCTTCCGGGCGTCCACCAGTGGCTCCCACTTGACGTTGTTCCTCCCCACAGAGAACTCGGTCTGCTGTGGCCAGTCCCGCCTGTGGTAGTGCGCCTTGGTGTCCCTGCTGTCCCAAAGGCAAAGAGCAAGGAAACTTGGTAAAACCGCCTTGAAGCCCATCAGGAATGCCAACATTTTGAAGTCTCTGATGACCTCCGAGCCGTACTCATCATATTTCAAGGCGTCCATCAAGGTCTTGATGCTGTTGTAATCCTCTGAGGTGCAACAAGTGAGCCAGGGGAGGAGAAGGGTACTTGTTACCATTATGGAGCAGCACGGCTTTGAGGCTCCTGGATGAACTGTCAATAGAGGTGCCACTCATTCTGGTTACAGGCGATTCCGATTGCCTCGAATAGACTGGTCACATTGTGGCAGAAGCAGAGCCCATCTTGACGGGTGAAGAAGCTGCAAAAAGGTTGGTGACGCTTCCTCTGATCTGTGACTTGCACACTTTCATCCAACAAGTTCCACTGCTTGAGCCAAGACGTCAAAAGCTCAGCATTGGACTTGGTGAGACCAAGTCACTCAGATCAAGTCGTTGACTTGGGTAGTATGGGTTTCTCTCCTCAGCTCCACCTCTGAAATTGTCATCTGGATCTACATCTTCCTCGCTCTCTGACTTGCTGCTCTCTTCGAAAGACGGCTGCTCTCTTCTCTCTCTCCGGAGGAGTGGATACGGGGAGCTCATGGCAGTGTGGCACCTGGGCGATGAAGGAAGGTCCGGATACGTGATAGCAGGTGCATTCTTGGAAGTCTGACGTTTGGAAGGGTCCACCATGCAGAAGCAGCAGTTGCTTGAGTGGTCAGTGGGTTCCCGCCAAATTATTGGGATAGCGAACTTCATGGCTCTCTTTTCCCCTCTGTGCCATCCGACAAAAATACATTTATTTCACCCATCACTAATGTGTAAGAGATTCTCGCAACATTTTTCAATGATATATTTCTTCAATAACATTGAAAATTATAAAACATTTTAAAATTATAAACTTTTACTATTTAAAAAATTGTAACAAATTTTATAACATAAAATTCCAAGCAACAATTGTCCATCTTACCTTCCAGAGTTTTTTGCATTGCTCGCAGGTGAAATGAGGTGCCCAGGGTTTGTCTTGATCCCCGACCGGCATGCCGAAATATGTCTTGTAGGCCTCACACATCTTAGCAGATGCTTCCACAGTACTTTTTCACTCTTGACTTGATATATTTGCCGCAGACATAGCAAAATGCATCTGCCAGATGCTTGCAGCCTCTTGATGCCATCTCAGAAAAATGCAGATATGGATCCACTTAGGCAGCTGGAACTAAACTGAACTCGTGGGCTTAAGGTCCCTGTATTTATACTACTATTTATATTACGGGAAAGTTCTAGAATGTTCTAGAAGTTACTCTAAGTTTACTCAGCACAATCTATCTGGAATGAATTAAAATCGGTACATTTCAAAATATCACTATCGTCATAAAAGCAAAGTGTGTTCGGGGAATAATAGCCAGTTTCTTTACTTTGGAGGCATAATAAATTAGGAAATAACACTTATTACCCAGGAACAAAAAAAAATTGTTACACAGTGTAATCATCACCGGTGTTTACTGTGAGCGGGAATCAATTTTGCATCGCTGGGTTCATAGCGCAGCACGCTAACCACTCCACTATGGCTTCCCCTACCCACCCCACTCACATGCACTCTCTCTCACATGCACTCTGCATAACTGGGCGAGAACATACACATTTGTGCCCGAAATGGGAATTAAGCCCAGGCCATTCTTGCTGCGAGGCAAGAAAGCGTTACCACCATGCGGCCCTGCCGCAACCCTGCCACCACCCTCCCGCCCCCGTGCTGTAGTGGCCGAGTGGTTTTGGGGTCCAGGCACCTGAATGCTGCATGGGGCCGCCCGGTTGCAGCAGGCTGCCGTGGCTCCCGTACATGTCACTCTGGTGGTACCCACCGGCATCCACCGGGTGCATCACGTCTCCTCCCATCACGCCACCCTGCGGCACCACGGTCACCACCCACACACACCAGTCAGCCGTCACCATCCTCTCATCATTATGATTATCATAATTTAGTACGTTTAGTGTTAAAGATGTTCAAACACCAAATAGACATCTATTGCAAGGCTCTGCATGCTTTGATTAAAATATACGCATTGTCCTTGAAACTTAACCAGAGCACCATCCTCCGTTATGGTCTTGCCTCGCTAGTGTTAGACCAGAGAAAGTAAAAAAGGAAAACCATACAAGGACAATGCAAACAAACATGCTTTGATATTGTATGCATTGTCCTTAAAACTGATTAGTCTACACCAGACAGCCTTCTTTATGGCATTGTCTTACTGGTGCTAGACCAGAGAACACCAAAAGACAAACAGCACAAAGGCAATGCAAGTATTAAAACATTAATAGCTCAGATTGAGCAGTTAAGGGTAAAGGAATTGAAAACTAATTTTAGATTGAACACTCTTTTCTTTAGAACTGCTTTTTGTGTTTAGTTGTCCTTCCCCGACACCTCCAATTAGCACGGTTGGCTACGTACGGTGTGAAAGAAGTTCAACATATGTATACACAAAGAAAAGGATAAAGCTGATCGTTTTTTCAACATTTTGATACCGGAAAAAGGGTCCCGTAGATACAGTACACGCATGGTATTCGAGCCATTTTTACATTGCCAGACTATCGTGACGGGTGCTTTTTTCAAAAGGGAATTCAGGAGCTTCACAGTGGGGGGTAACGATTGCCGCAAGTAATCCCAATAAAGTAATTTGCGGTGTTGCTTTTCAAATTTTGACGGCAACTCCGGCACACGATGGCCTACTCGCTTTGAATCACGTCACGAGATCTTTACCATCCACCGAGGATCAGACGGTGCGTAGTATGTTACGGTTAAGCCACAGACACCGCAGTGATAACTGGGGCAACCTTGCAGGATTCGAACTGCGAACCTCTGCAACACCGAGCAGCAAACGCATCACCGCCGAGATGCATCAGTCCCAAAAATATCTTAACTGATGAACATACGTGACTTATCGACATATGGCTTGTCGGCACGCGACCAATCCACTAGTGACCCATCAACACGCGACCCATCGACCTACCTCATTCCAAGCAGCTGGGTCGTCTCTGAAGAGCGAGTGGGTGAGCTCCACCGACAGCCGCTTCTTGAAGTCCTGGGGCTTGTCCTCCGACATGCGGAACAGCACGGCCGCTGCGTACGTTGCTGTGAATGCACGCAGACAAACAACCGGTGTACCCACGGCCGATTGCCAGACTCCTCCCATTCAGCCCATTCATCTGTCTGCTTGGCCCAGCAATCTCATTGGATTTTGAAAAAAAAAAGAAAAGTTGAAGGCTGCACTTGACACCATCGCGTAGACCATGGGGCCCTGATAATAAAATAGTATTTAAATATCTTTCCAGGTTTAACGTTTTTTAAAAACATTTTTGGCATATTGCATCGATGGTAACCATGTTGTAGAATGGTCTGTTTAACACGTAGGCTTTCGCGACCAAAATCATCCATCAGAGGTTTTTGTGTTAGATCGCGTATTTATATAAATGTGTCGTTAAAACCCGCCACCACTCGACACAGCCAACTAGTAAGGGTTGTCACGTAAACAGAACATGCCAATTCATCACAAGTACAGCACCACCGGTGTGTTGGAGAGCCAAGCCACAACATTTACAAACCGAGTACGACGTTTCGCCAGTAATTACAACAAGCTTCATCAGGCGACAGCCAGGTTTGTGGAGAATTCTTACTATTTAGTTCCTTATATAGAGGGGTGATGAAGCTATCATTAATAGCTCGTTTTTTTCATATTTTACCACAAGCTTGTGTGGTTATAATGCAGACTTCATGCCTTGCGATAGGTGTCGATTTGTTGTTTGGTCATCTGAACACCTCCAGTATTATTTCCAGCAAGGGAAAAACTATTATTTTTCATCTTCTTGATACCAGCAAAAAAGGTCCCATAGATATAACTGCTCAACTAATTAGATCAGTCATGGGATGACATTGACCAAATGAGTCACTGAGTAGACAATGGATCTCTCTTAATAAAGATACCACACTGGAACATGGTTACCATCGATGCAATATGCCAAAAACATTTCAGAAAAACGTTAAAACTGGAAGGATATTTAAATACTATTTTCTATTATCAAGGCCCCATGGTCTACACGATGGTGTCAAGTGCAGCCTCCAACTGTCAGTCACTCCTAGCTCTCCGAGCCATGTCCCATGAAGAAGAGGCATTGCCCAAAACGTCACTTATTGTATACGGCAAGTCCTCGCTTACCGTGTAGTGTTCACACTGTAGCGTGTTTTCGCGGTCATGCAGTTCTTGCATTCGGGAACACTTTTCGCACAATGTGGAACGCGTACCTTTTGAACGCGGAACACGCACACCGTTCTAACGGTCGACGACGTATTACTTTCTTGAGCTAAGTGGTACAGTGATACAGTACGTGGAATGATACAGTAACGTGGCAATGTACCCTCATTTATTTGTCCCGCCATCTCACTGCCTGTCTGTAGTAGTACATCATATCTCGCTAAACTTCATCGTTACTACATTATTTATGGGGAAATAATTTTCATTGAAAGCGTTTTTCGCTGAACACATGTGAACACTGGCGCACTAAGCGAGGACTTACCACAGGTTTTTTTTTTTGCAATGGGATAAATTTACAGACTCCAATGGGATAAATGCAGACTCCACACTCCACACAGCCAGAGAGGGAGAGAAGCACCCGGGGTAGAAATGAAACCCGAGCGCTCCTTGCCACGATGCCTGAAGAGCTTTGACACTGTCCCTCCCTGACGGTGCCAACGCTCGTCAAGGAGGGGTCACGTGCACCGCCGGCTGGCTCACCCACTCCTTCGTTGCGCGAGTGCAGCAGCTCGGTGAGAGGCGCCGTGGCGCCCTCCGCTTCAACAGCCTCGGCCGCCTCCTTCTCCTGCGCCAGCTCACAGAGTACGCCAGCCGCCACGCGCTGCACGTTCTCGATGTTGGAGTAGAGAAGCTGCCGAGCCAGAGTCGTGGGGGGCAGGGGTCAGGGCACAGCCTTGACAAAGCACTTACCTCGCCAGTGCAATGGTGGTAGACACAAAGATCCCCCGTGTAGCCTATAATAGGCTTTTGGGGCTAGTGCTGTTAAGCGAGTAGCACCTATGAAGGCCGGCACGGCAGAGAGGGTGGGTGGCCAGCACCACAGCCCAGCCGCCTTTATCTCCCTTGTGGTGATGTTTACACATCGACCTAACGGAGGCCGAGTTGATCTAGCAGAGGCCCAGGACCGGTTCAGATAATTGTCACTGGTGTTGAATCGTGAGCCGGGTTCATAGCGCAGCACGCCAACCGCTGCCCTACTGCTCCACATATGCAATGGTGATACTATTGTTAGAACAAACACATTGATGAATTTATTTTGTATTATTTTTATGATTATGCTTGTTATAGCTGGAAAAGCTGCTCCTTTTCAACATTGCTTTGCATAATTGCAATTGAGTAATTTGCAGTGTATTTTTTTTTAAACGTAGACCGTCTGTGACACCAGCACACAGAGGCCTAACCGTTGCAAATAACTTCACAGAATCTTTAACGTCCACTCGGAAGCAGATGGCACATTAGTTAGAATAACTGTTATCAGTAATTTTACCGTTTGAAATATACAAAACGTTTCTCTTTTATTCTATTTTACCTTCATATGTTTAACAATAATTGGACTGGAATCTCTGTGTTTCAAGTTACAACACAGTTTCACGTCATATAGAGGCAGACCTCGCTTAGCGCGACCCCGCAGAACGCTGATCCGTTCTAGTGCTCTTTGTCCTGAGGAACATTTTTTACAAATATCTCAACAGTGCTTCCAAGTGAGAACAAAAAGCAATGCTGGCTGAGGAAACGTACCCGCCCCCCATCATTCACTCAGGGATGAACGCTGTGTGGCGAGACCTGCAATGTGAATTGTGCTGCCGTCATGAGTGAAGGCGCTCTCAATATACATATGAATAAAAAATAGATTAACGTATGACAACACGAGGGCGATACGCGTCATGTGTAAATGCTGCTTCAACCTGCACGAAGAGGGGGATGGTGTTCAGTCCGCGGATGACGGTGCGATTGTGGGCATCGCGTGCCAGGATGTGAAGGGCGCCTGTGCAGCCCTCCACGATCTCCTCCATGCGGATGCCATCCTGTAGAGCACCAGAGTAGTCACGCTCCCTTAACATCTCACCACCACATTCATCGTTCACACTGCCTTCAAGCAGACAAATATGTATTCCCGCACCTCCGATTAGCACGATTGGCTACGTACGGTACAAAAGAAGTTCAACAGACATACACTGGATATTTTTGGATATGGCCCTGCTTCTGAGCAGAAGAGCCGAAGTACAGTTCTTAAAGAATACCTATTATATTTTTATACTGTGTAATTTTACGTTTAAAAAATACAACTGAAATAACTTTTATTATTATTATAATGTAGTACATTTGGCATTGGTGCCATTATTATCACACGCGGATATCACAAAGGTAAGCGCTATGTTTCAGAAACATAGTCTGCAATAGTTTCACAGTAGGGGTAATGTTGCGATGTGTAATCCCAATTGAGTAAATTGCAGATAATCTTTTTCCAACTAGATATTGGGCCAATCCCAGGTACACTGTAAGTCTATGGGACTATTTTTTTTTCATATATGGTATGTTTTTAGCCTTTTTCAGATAGGAGACAGAACCAGAGAACCCAGGGCAAACCCATGCAGAACAGGGGGAGAGAATACAAACTCCACATAAAAAGTGCACGAAATCGGGATTTGGCACTTCTTGCTGCCACGCATAAATTATGCCACTGTGCCACCCTGCTGCCCAGTTAGTTATCAGTCGATAAAATGCCATCAGCCTCAAGGTGGCTAGGTGGTTCAGTGGCTAGTGCCGCATCAGAGCAAAGAACTATTACAGATTCTGGGTTTGAATCCAGGCTACCACATATCAAAAACCCGGGCTCTCAAGCTCGGAAGTGTAGCCAGTTGATCAATAATTGCAGAAAAACAACAAAAATAAACTTCTTGTCACTTTACGAGTCTTATTTCCAGCTTTGACAACTTAAATCGTTTTTTTTTGTATATTGCGGACACGGTTACAGAAGGGCATGTTATCTCCCTCGCCTGATATGCAGGAGGTAGTGGGTTCAATCCTGACCCTGACGTCTGTATATTTGGCGTTTTCATGTTCTCGCCGTGGTCGCGTGGATTTTTTTCGAGGTTCTCTGGTTTTTCCCTCCATATTTAAAAACATGCGTTTATAATATTTGGCTGCTGTAAATTTCCACATAAGCCACTTGATTGAGCTATCATGTGTGGCCAGGTCGCTCCTGAAAAATAGCTAATAGCTCAGTGGGTTTTACCTGGTAAAATAAAAGATAGTTTAGTTTCATCTATAGTTTAGGTCAACCGCCCCGTGTGTGAATTTTTGTAGCATGGCCTTCCAGAAGCCATCCTCTAAGACAGGTTGATGCACGGCTCTGCTAGAGTTCTGAGTGGAAACGTCTTCGTCTCACAAGTTGACAATGATAAGATGCCAAATGCAGGCCCCAGCATAACCCAAGAAATTATTTAGCTCATAATTGCTATATAAGTACAAATTTTGCCAAAGTTGAAATCCTGCAGTCATTTCTGCAGTGGAGTACCCAGTTCCGAGCTCACTGCACTTGATGGAATTAAATGTAGTGAAGTCAGATTGACTGATGATCTATTACTCACTGCTTCATACCAGCCACTTACCCACCGGCAGTCATCTCATAACTTTTCTATTGGTACCACCATGATTACTGTTTTTGTGAACTTCAGTCATCAATTCCTCCACCTATGTTGAGGACTCAAATCTACCAGACTGTTTCATTTCATCTGCATGGTGTTCAACCACCACGCTGCATATGTGAACAACAACAAACTCACCCACCCACTCACCACAGTGCAGGTCTCAACAAACACCGAATATGCTGGTGTCAGGGTCGGGATCTAACCCACGACTTCCTGTATAGCGCAGAAAACAAATATCTCAACCACAAATCATCTGCTTCACCACCAGCATGTTTGGGGGCGAATGACGTAGCCTAACCGTGGCACATTTACCGCTTGTTTTCAGAGGTTGACAGTTTGAATCTGGCTGGCTGTCCTGGTTATTCCTGCAGGCATATTAACCTACAACGGTGACGGGGCGGTGCAGGGCACTGACCACATACTGTGGCTGTCCCCCGGAGGCCGCGGTTTGGCGCTGCGTGTCCTGGTGAGCGCGAACCAGCAGTTGCACAAGTTGGGGGATGGCACCGTGCTCGCGCAGCGGCGCATGGTTGTCTGGCAAGAGCGCCAGGTTACGGATGAGCCCCACCACAGCCTGCATGACACAAACAAAGATCGTCCGTGTACAGGCCAGACCTCGGTTAGCGCGACCCTGTAGAACGCCGATTCATTAGAGCCCTTTGTCCTGGAGATTTTTTTTTACAAAAAATGTAAGATAATAAACATTTCAACGGCGCTACGAGCGAGAACACGCAGCAGCGCCAGCCGAGGAAATGTACCTGCCCCCATCATTCACTCAGCCAATGAGTGTGACAATTCGATTGTCACGATTCCTGGTCAGGATCACATTTAAAGATACATAAATAAATCTATTAAATTTTCCAATGTTAATACAGTATGTTTAGCCAGGTGAGAACTCATGAGACTAGGCTAGTCTCAGGCTCCACCCAAAAGAAATCTCACCACAGACATTTTAGCTGAGGGCATCACTAAGACCTGGAGCGCAGCAGCTCCAACCTCATCTCTCCCACCACTGCCTTGTAGGAGTACAATAGAATGCACTCGTGAGTACTGGACATAACACTTACTGATGTTATAATAAATGATTATTTTTATTCACGAAAGGTTTATGATCTGTATTTTTATTATTATTAGCGCTATTATCGATACCTGATGGAAGCCCTCATATATTGCTCATACGTAAGAAATAATGCTGTCAAGAACACATACCCACATATACAATGGTATAACGACCCCTCTTTTAGCGCCGATTGATTAGTCCTCACTTCTCCAGGAGCGCTAAGTGAGATCTGCCTGTACCCGGAAAAGACTCGCCGAGTCTGAAGGCCCTATTTCAGGAGTGTTCTCCCAAGTTTTCATAGTCAGGGGCTATGTTTCTACGAGTTTTCCCCCATTGAGTCATTTTGTAAGCATTGAGATGTTTGGCCATTTATATCCGGAGTAAAGTCATGCCGAGTAGGGGAAGAACACACAAACTCTGCAAAGGCAGGAATCAAACCCAGGTGGGTGGCCCTTCTTGCCTGACAGCAAGAAGGGCCACCCACCCACTGCACCATCCTGCCTTGTAATCCTACACATGTTAGGGCAAGTGTTGTTCGCGAGTAGCACCTATGAAGGCCTGCACGGCACACGTGGGGATGGGTGGCTACACCCGGCTGCCTTTGTCTCTCCAGTGGTGAAGTTTACACACCACACCACGTAGTCATTTAAGGCTGAGTCGACCTAGGAGAAGCCAGGACCAATTAAAATATTCACCGCTGTTATTGGTCATCAGTAAGAATTGAACTCGAATTGCCAGGTTCGTAGCGCAGTGCGCTAATCATTGCAGCACCACTTTCCACAAATATATAACAACCGTCATTCACTACTAAGTGGTGGTGATGTCACTATGGCACTTGAACCAGGTTAAGTGCACTTTGAGGCCACGTGAACTCTCGAAGGCCGGCTGGCAGGAGGTCACGGAACAGACCCAGGTGCCATGGGTTCATTTGACTGAGATGACTGGCCGTTGCACCAACTGTGCTCTTCACTGTGACAACTTTCTGAAATATAGCTGTCTGGCACTCCGCTCATTGTGAGCGCCGGTCCTCTGCTTTCCACTTTTGTTGGAGGGCAACTGCCTCCAACTCCTCAGTAGCATCTTTCACGGACTTCATCCACAGAGGCCAAACTTGACACTGCTGGTACCAGTCGTCAGAAAGTCCACTCGGCTCCACTTATTTCTGTATCACATCAGTCCACATTTTCTCCAGCCCGTGCCGCACCCATTTAGCTGTTTTATATTTACGCACACAAACACATCTGTAAACACTGTGCACTGTGCGTGAAAGCATTGGAACCTTGATGAGGGGCCAGCGTGACGGGGGCTGCAGCAGCTTCACAGTGATGGGCAGGCCGTAGTGCAGGCGTACAGCTTTTTGCGCCAGCTCGGCATCAGGGTGGCGGCTGGTGAGGTGGCGCAGTGCGCACACAGCCGGCTCGGTGATGTCCTCTCGGTCTCCGGCCTGCAGCACCGTCTGCACCAGAGCCTCGATCCCACCGACCTGCGCCGCGCCCATGCGACCGACACGCGGAGGGGAAGCGGCAAACAAGCCGGTGAACAGCGGGCGAGTGCATGGTGTGCAAACGCGATGCCACGGCTACGGGCATCTCAGGAGGTGACTAAAGATTTATGTGCCTTAAAAAAACTAGTTTCAGATGATGGGTGTCGCCACCCACTGACTGGGATAGTCTTTATTTTTTACATTAGCGATTTTCTCGTGAGTGCTGACATTAATAATAAGAGTCCAGTGGACGGAGCCACCGACAGTCAGAAAGTGAAGATGCCGGAGAAGTGCTGTGGATTGCAGCTGCAAAAACGTAGGGTAAGTCCTCGTTTAATGCGGTATATGCGTTCCTGAAAAGTGCCGTGTTAAGCGCAAACATTTTCCCATAAATAATGTAAAGATAAAGTTTGGTCAGTAAGCACACGCAGTGAGATGGCAGGACAAAAAACTGAGGGTATGCCACCGCGTTACTGTATCATTCCGCGTATCGTACCGCTCAACCGCGCAACTCAAGAAAGTAGTTAATCATGTCAACACCACGTGTTCAAGGAGAACTTGCCGCACATGTTATTAAAGAAACTTGTTGGACTACATTTTCAAAATCGAGCAGCATCACAAATAAACATGTGCTTCATGGTCATACATGACTTTTTATGACTATACTGACTTACAACATATTGTACCGATGATACTTTGACACAGTTTTAAACAAAACGCCACATTTACTTGATGTATCTGGTCGTGAAAATTGTACTTCCAATTTAATGGCGAGTGAACTTAAACAATAACTGGCGTGTTGTTAAACGCTTGTACATCATGTGAGCATTTAATTTGTTTGGCTGAGTTGGGTGGTGGAGGGCCTGCCAAGGCAGGCGCGCCGTCACCATCACACGGCCAAACAAATTCATTGCCAGGTGCAGAAGCATTTTATGCACCAATTGTTATTGTTAAAGCTCACTCAATGGCGAGCCGAAAATCAATTCTCACAGGCATATTTATAAATCCGATTACGCGATGTTTAACAATTATTCTAACTTTTGAGATTTTTATTATTTTACTTTCACTTCCTGTATCTTGTCCTGATAATGCTTGTACACTTGACAATTTACTTTGTTTGGCTGCATCAGATTGTGGAGACTCTTAATGACACATATTTGGTCAAATCATTACGTAGTAGCCCAACCCAAAATATCAATTACGAATCATAATTATTGGCTGTTGGTACAGTCAGTCCTTGCTTAACGCGTGGTGTTCACACAACATGTTTTCGCTATCATGCAGTTCTCCCATTTGGGAACACTTTTCTAAAAACGGGGTCGAGCACTGTTATAATGTTGGAACGCGCACCGTTATAACGCAGAACGTGCCCGATATAACGCGGAACACGCACCATTACTTTCTTGAGTTGCACAGCTGAGCGGTAGAGTAAAATAGTACGCAGAATGATACAGTAACGCAGCGGCGTACCCTCGGTTATTTGTCCTGCCATCTGTGTGCGTAGTAGTACATTGTATCTCGCCAAACTTAATTGCTACTCTATTTACAGCGAAACTGTTATCAGTTAGCGCGGTTTTTTCTCTTGACAAGGCACTTGTTAGGAATGCATCCACCACCGCGTTAAATGATAGACGCCTGTATTTTGTATATTTCCTGGTTATTAAAAAAGGTCCTAGATCTATACGTAACCTAAATTAAAATATACATTGACCAGACGCTGAACCTACCTGGCATACAACCATCTTGTTGCGGTAGTTATTGCAGGTGAGGTTGGACAGGATGCCCGCTCCGCAGGTCACGACGTTCACGTCATTAGATCCCAGCAACTGCACCAGCGACTGCAGCAACCCCTCCATGTTCTCCTGCACCACACAGCAACACCGCATCCACGGGTCAACAACATCTCCTGAACGACAGTTGGTCACGTCTAAGGGCACGTGCGCAATCGGCAAAAAAAATCACAATAGCGGTAGTGATATCAAAAGCAATGCTTCAATAGAATTACCTCTTTAATTTGGACCTGTTTCGAATATTAGGTCTCATCAGCAGGGCATGGGCTGTGAAATAAATTCTGCTGGATTGTCTGGTATGACAGGCAAAGGCCACCAGTCGGTTTTGTACCCAATCAACTTTACTCATTGAGTCTGTCACTCACTTTGAGGACTTGGTCAATCAGAATGATTGTATTAGTCTCGTCAAGACTGTGTTCAACCACCGCAGGTCGCAAAAAGTCACTTACTCATTCAGCCTCTCATTCACCCTCTCTTGACTCACCCAGTCAACCACTTACTCACTCAAGAGCCACTCACCCACCCACTTGTTATGAGCGGCTGAACACGAAGCTTCACGGTCTGTTGCTGTATAGCACCCAGCCTGATGACGACTGGCTCCGTGTTCCAAAGGCAGATTCGACTCATGGCCCAGATAGTTCCCCGATTCATTTCCGGAATCATTTCTTGGCGGACGGTGGCATCAATAGATTATGACTCATGTTACACATTCGAATGGGGAAGCAGCTGCTGAATCTAAGCAAACTTCTGATGGGGAGTCTGCAGCTCACTCAAGGGCAACAGCGACGTGGTCAGACTGTTTTAGGAGGACCGGTGTGTTATGCTGCACAGGTGTACCGCCAATGTCAAAATGTGCTTACGAAAAAAAGTTATTATGCAGGAAGCAAATAACTAAACAACTAGAAAAATACACACAAGGATCCTTCATCTGCTTTTACCCAAACATTCGCCGGCCAAAGGATCAGCACCATGGGCACTTAGCAAGCTGGCCGCACTGACCTGCTTAGTGGCAGCATCGGAGAGATTGCGAAGGGTCCACAGGCAGTTCTGCATGAGCCTCTGGCTAGGGCTGTTCAGGTGAAGACCCAGGGCTTGCATGCCACCTGACGCCAAGAAACACATGACATTATGGTGCTGTTATGGAACATGTATGTAGATATATATGTACGTCACCTATATTTAAACACTAGCTTTACTACCCGGCTTCGCCCGGCCGCCTTTGTCCCCCCAGTGGCGATGTTCACACACCACATCAGTTACTCGTTTGAGGCTGAGTCGACTTAGGGGAGGCCCAGGACTAGTTCAAATAATCGTCACCGGTGGTGGTTGTGAGCGGGAATCAAACTCGGGTCGCTGGGTTCGTAGCGCAGCGCGCGAATCGCTACAATGGCTACGCAGTCGCTGCCCCCCCCCCCCCCACACACACAGGATAAAGACAAAGATCCCCTGTGTAGCCTGTGAGACTGTAGGGGGTAAGTGCTGTTAGCGAGCACCTATGAAGGCCGGCACGGCACACGAGAGGGTAGGTGGCCAGCACCACGCCCGGTCGCCTTTGTCTCCCCAGTGGCCATGTTCACACAGCACACCAGTTACTCGTTTGAGGTTGAGTCGACCTAGGGGAGGCCCAGGACCGGTTCAAATAATCGTCACCAGTGGTGGCCGTGAGTGGGAATCGAACTCGGGTCGCCGGGTTCGTAGCGCAGCGCGCTAACCGCTATATTACACTACGCTTCCACATGCACGGGTCACATGACAGATGTGACGTCACAGCCCACTTGCCGTGCAAAAAAATATGCATTATTGAGCCGCCCCCCCCCCCCCAAAATACAAAAGTCTATTTTTATAATTTTTGGTGTAGTCTGGAAAGTACCCACATGGCAAATTTCAAGTTTGTTGCATGTCGGGAAGTACGCTAAACATTTTGAACAGACACACATAATCACAAATATCCCATTAATATATAGAGATTACCTACAAAACCACCACGGGTTGTATTCAAAATGTATGGTAAGCTCTCGCTTAACACGCTTTGTTCACACAACACGTTTTCACGAGAACACGGTTGTTCCATGAGGGAATACTTTTCGCAAGATGTGGAACACCCCCTTAACGCAGAATGCGCACCATTATAACGTGGTTTCTGAGCGGTCGACAATTAACTACTTGCTTGAGCTGCGTGCCTGAGCGGTAGTGATACAGTATATAGATACAGTCAAGCGGCGACGTAACCTCAGTTATTTGTCCCACCATCTCACTGTGTTTGCATACATTGTATCTTGCCAAACTTTTTTGTTACATTATTTACGGGGAAATAGTTGTCGCTTAACACATTTTTCGCTTAACGTGACACTTTGCAAAAACGCATCCACCATGTTAAAAGACTTACTGTATTATGAACATTCAGAACGTATTATAAACATTATTCTACTGTTTGGGCTTCAACTACCACACACAATTCTCAACACTATCCTGGATTAATAACAGAAAAACAATCCAGACAAGTGTAGTGACACAGCGTTGACTGTTGTACAGTAGCTGCAACTGCAGGTGGACACTTAGCGCACACGCTATTGAGCATATACACGGGTGTGCCGGCAGGGTGGAGGAACTGGGGCAAGGGTCACGGCAGACCTCGTGGGGAGGTCCCTGGAACCCTCTGGTGGATTAGAGAAGGGAGGCACGGCTAGGGTGGAGCCAAGCCGCGCCAAGGGGAATATAAGCAGTGGAGAGCGAGAGCTCCGGGCTTCCGGTTCTGGGAGTGGACTCGTCTCGTCGTCGCTGTCGTCGTCGCCGCCGCCTTCGCCTGGTCATTGCGCAGCCGAACAGTAGTTGGCTGTCTCGGTCGACGCCGTCGGTGCAACGCGGACGTGGTCGTGTCTGGACCGGGACGTACGGCAGCGTGGTCGTGAGAGAGGGAGCCGGAGTTGGTGGTGTGATCATAATAAAGGAAAGACGGTGCCTCCTGCGACAACCTCGTCTCCGACTGAGGGTGTATGTGACGCACGCCACACGCACACACACACAAGCCTCGAGAAGAAGGAAGAAGAGACCTGCGAGACTACACAAGTAGAGTTAGGTGTAGTTGGGAGTGTAGTCTGGAGTGTAGTTGGGAGTGTGGTTGGGAGTGTGGTTGGGAGTGTGGTTGGGAGTGTGGTTGGGAGTGTGGTTGGGAGTGTGGTTGGGTTGTCGTCAGAGCATAGTTTGTGTGTAGTTGGGAGTGTAGTCGGGGGTGTTGTTGGGGTGTGGCTGGGGATGCTGGCGTACCGGCCTCGACGATGGCGGGCTTGTTGCTGGGGCACACGGAGAGCACCTTGAGTACACGACTCGTGGTCCATAGCAGCTTCTCGTAGGTGTACGTCCTCATGATGTGCACCAGCCCAGCCGGACCCCCACTTGCCAGGATTATCAACTGAGAGCCAAAGCCAAAAACACAGCTTTGTTACGAATATTTTTTTCGATTTAAAGCTTTCGTGACTGCAGGGATTCATCTTCTTGGTTCTTTCGGTAAAGTCACGTAGAAGGGAAGTAATAAAATAATAAAAATAAAACATAATAAAACAATTCTCACGACGTTTCGGCCACAACGCAAGCAGCCGTCCTCAGGTGAAAACCAGGTCCGTCGAGGCGACAGAGTCTGAATGAAACAGCACAGCTTGGAGCATATATATATATGCTCCAAGCTCGTGTGCTGTTTCATTCAGACTCTGTCGCCTCGACGGACCTGGTTTTCACCTGAGGACGGCTGCTTGCGTTGTGGCCGAAACGTCGTGAGAATTGTTTTATTATGTTTTATTTTTATTATTTTATTACTTCCCTTCTACGTGACTTTACCGAAAGAACCAAGAAGATGAATATTTTTTTATTACAGGCAGAGCTCGCTCAGCGCTCGCGATGCATTCGCTGGAGAAGTGAGCGTTAATCAAATCGGCGATGCGTTCCCGACAGCGTTATTTATTTTATATGAGCAGTATATGAGGGCTTCATTGGGGTAACGGTAATAGTGCTAATAATACAGATGGTAAACATTCTATCGTAAGTAAAAATGTCTTAAGATAACATAACTAAGTATTATGTACTGTACTCGCAAGTGCATTCTACTGTAATGGGATCAAAGTTGGAACTGCTGCGCTCCCAATCCGGGTCTTCGTGATGCCCTCAGGCTAAATGTCTGTGGATAGGTTTCTTTTAGGTGGTGCCTGAGACTATCCTAGTCTCTTTTCTTTCTTTTCCCAATGTGGCTACATAGCAAAACAATCGTGAGCACGAATCGTAATAATTATATTGCGGAGGGGTACGTTTCCTTGGTCGGCGCTGCCGTGTGTTCTCACGCGGAAGTGCTGTGTAGATATTTTCATTTCAGTTTTTTTGGTAAAAATTTTGCCAGGAGAAAGAGCACTATAACAAATCAGCATTCTACGGGGTCGTGCTAAACGAGGTCTGCTTGTACTATGTTCGTTTACCCGGGAAAGCCTCTCTGACTCTCACGAGTTAATTTAAGGAGGATCCTGCCAAGTAAAAAATATATTTTTATTGGTCAGATAAAGACCACTAAGCTACATAGCTGTTTTTCACCTGGCCACACATGATAGCTTAACAAAGTGGCTTATCTTGACTGAAAGCTTTTGTAACTGCAGGAATTCATATTCTTTGGGTCTTTCGGTAAAATCACGTAGATAGGTTCAAAGAAAATAACAAAAAACTATGACGTTTCGATCACAACACAAGCGATCGTCATCAGGAGGAAAAAAGAGGAAAGCTGCTGAGGCAGACTGTTTTAAAGGTTTAAAATGGGTGTAGCCCTTGGGTCATAAACGAAGTGGGCGGGGCTAGTGATGTTAATGTGAGAAATTAGCATGTTAATGTAAGATCGGAGGGCAACATCCACGATGAGGGCGCGGAGGTGGCTATGTTAATGTGAGAGATTAGCATGTGAATGTAAGATCGCAGAGCTGCTGCCACGTCGGCGCGAGAGGTGACTGTGTTAGTGTGAGAAATTTAACCTGTTAATGTAAAATCAGAAAGCCGAAAATAACAAGTAACATCGGAAGCTAGGATGGAAACATCACAGCCAGTTATGACTTAAACTGGTTAATAACGTCCTTCCAATGATTGCTCAGTTTGTACCCATCTTCTCGGTTGAAATTGTGTCTGTGTCCATATATATGGGTGGCTTCATGAACGAATCTTTGTTGATAGTCAGTGGGTTTATCAAGTACCTTCGTCTTGGAGAACTCAATTTCGTGTGAGCCCAAAGCATTAAAACAATGATCAGTGACGGCCGAGGTATTGGTCCTACCGTGTTACAGATCTGCCTTATGTTCAGGAACACGGTCCGAGACATGTCGCTTAGTTTCCGCAATGTAACTACTCCCGCAGACACAGCTTAGTTTGTAGACGCCGGGGTATTGCATGTCAGGGATCACATCCTTCACAGATGGGATCAGAACCTGGATCTTGTGTTTGCTCATGATTTTGGAAATCTTTTTGGTGACCCCTGCTATGTATGGCAAGGTGATGGTTTTGATTGGGTCCTCAGATGGTTCTTTCACAACGGTTGGAGTAATAAAATCGGTTCTAGCTAAAGGGTTGAATTTCCGAGTCACCCCTGAACACATCCCAGTTGATGATATCATTGCCCAGGTCGACGTAGCCCTTAAGGGTTTGGGACACATTACTGCAGATGTGGCAAGATCGGAAATCGCTGCAATCCTCAAAAATGCTAAGAGACCTATTAGCAACATCAGTAAGGATAAGCGCTTTGAGCTTTCTCAATTGTTAAAGAGAGAGAACATCGTCATCCTCTCAGCCGAAAAGGGCAATGCCAGTCATCATGGACAAAACCACATACAATAACAAAATTCAGGACCTACTTCATGATGGTAGCTCTACCAAAATTAAAAGAGATCCCACCAACCGCCTCGTTACGAAAAACAACAATATCATCACTTATTTGACATCTTTAATCGAACCAACCAAGCGGTTTTCCTTAAAACCCTCTGCTGCTAGACCAACCAGATTGTATGGCTTACCAAAAATCCATAAAGAAGGTACACCCCTTTGTCCTATCGTCTCCACGATTGACTCACCTACCTACAAACTGGCCTGATTTCTGTCCGAGATCTTACAACCATTCACTGGTAAGACCACCTCAGCTGTACTTAACGCAGCTCACTTGATATCGTTAATTAAGGACATCTCACTATCTCCAGGTGATTTGCTCATTAGTTTTGATGTAGTCTCTTTGTTTACCAAAGTTCCTGTGCCTGACACCATTGCAATCATTGAAGATTTAGTCCAACAATGGAATGAATGCTGATGTTCCGGCCCTAGTGAGACACTGCCTCACCAACACGTACTTCACCTGGAATGGAACATTTTACAAACAAGTTGAAGGTACTCCAAATGGTTCTCCTTTATCTCCAGTTGTAGCCAATGTTTTCATGGAAAATTATGAGACAGATGCTATCCAGGCATCTACTCTATGTCCGTCTTTGTGAAAGAGGTACGTAGATGACACGTTTGTCATCTGGCCACATGGCCGACCAGCTCTGAACTAATTCCTCAACCACATCAATATCATACACCCGGCTATCAAATTCAATATGGAGGTGGAAAAGGATGGCAAGTTACCATTCTTGGATGTTTTAATCGAAAAGAGACCAGATGGCTCAATGGGACACCGTCTACAGGAAAGCCATCCATACGGATGCCTACCTAAAACCTGACTCCCACCACCATCCATCCCAGAAGAATTCCCTCATCAAAACTCTACACCATAGAGCTCCTTTCCAGTGTTGCCGCTTGTTCGAAGTGGACAGACCAAGTACTACGAAAGCACTTGCAAATGGCAACATCACCCCTCGCACTTTTCCTCTTTTTCGCCAGCCAGCCCAGGCCTCCCAGCATACTGGAGCTGGCTTCTCATTATTGCTGGGGACGTCGAATTGAATCCAGGCCCGTTTTTCCCTTGTGGCAGTTGCGGCAAGAATGTCACTGAAAATTATATCTAATGCAACGGTTGTAAAGCTTGGTACCACAAATGCTGCACTACTTTAGCCCGCATCCCCAGTTCAAATTCCGGCTGGTTCTGCAAATATTTTACATCATACACTCCAAAAACTCCACCTTGTACAACCACACTAACACCACCATCTCATCCATCGCAACCACCGTTTCAACACAACAAAACATCCACAACAAAAACGACCTAAAAATCCTTCAACTAAACATCAACAACAAATCTCTTGAACTAAGCACCTTTCTACAACAAAACACCATTAATATATCTTCTTGGTTCTTTCGGTAAAGTCACGTAGAAAGTCACGTAGAAGGGAAGTAATAAAATAATAAAAATAAAACATATACAAACACAGAGACAATATCAACCGAGAAGATGGATTCTGGCTTAGCAATCATTGGAAGGACGTAATAAACCATTTCGGATCTTAACTGATTGTGTTCACGTTTACGGTGACTTTCAGACCGCGTGCCACTCACTGGCATTGTACTCTCCGCAGGGAATGGATTCTTTGCTCCGCTGCAAGTTTCCTACCACTACTCTCCCATTGACATATTTCGTTGCTTCCTCTTAGTATCTTTCACACGACGGTCAATGGTACAGTGTATAATAACAAATAGTATAAAATGTATATGCTTAATACAATGTACAAAATAATATATAGCATCGTAATAGTATAGTGAATATACAGCAGTGTGATATACATTAGGGTGGGTAGAATAATACATAATGTAATATTACAATGTATAAGGTATAGGGTTGTTTATAGCAATACAGTATATAATTTAATGTTGGGTTTGTCTATGGCAGTATATAGTACGGTGTAGACTCGTGTGATGTAAGAGAATAAAGTTTAGATGGAAGCATAATATATTTTTAATGACGTAGAATTGTAATGTATTACTTACTGTTAGTAACTCAGCTTATTGTAGAGTATATTTAGTATACTAATGATACTATGTAGTTTATACTTTAGTTGTTTACGTGGTGGTTTTAGTTACTGCAGCTACATACTATTAACACTCCTTCCCTTTATTAATGCTACCCCTATCCCCTCCCTTTGATGCTGCTAATCCTGCATAATGCACAGGCATAAGTAGTACTAATCACATACCTGCATTTCCCATATCCCTTCCCTTTGATGCTGCTAATCCTGCATAATGCACGGGCATAAGTAGTACTAATCACATACCTGCATTTCCCATAAATATGCTAAATTCCTCTTGATATGCAAATTATTTTGTCAAGGCGCCCTTTCCCCCCCTTCCAACCCAGCTTAAATATATGCTCCAAGCATGGTGCTGTTTCATTCAGACGCTGTCGCCTCGACAGACCTGGTTTTCACCTGAAGACGGCTGCTTGCGTTGTGGCCGAAACGTCGTGAGAATTATTTTATTATGTTTTATTTTTATTATTTTATTACTTCCCTTCTAAGTGACTTTACCGAAAGAACCAAGAAGATGAATCCCTGCAGTCACGAAAGCTTAAAATCGAAATGTAACCATTAATATAGCCGCCATACAAGTAACACAATTAAAATCAATTTCTCGACCGCCCAACTATCAAAATTTAACTTTGCTCCGTCGAGACCGACCAACAGCTGGTGGCGGTTTAGCTTTTCTCATCCATAAAAGCATTCAATTTGAAGAAATTAAAATCCCATTGCCTCCTTCTGATATCACCACAGAAGCCTTAAGCGTCCGTATCAAATCCCATCTAGGCCCACTCACTATAATCAATGTCTACATCCCACCGACCAGTTCTTGCCCTCGCAACTATCAGTTCAATATAAATCAACTTTTACCAAACAACGGCTCAATTGTTATTGGAGATTTCAACGCCCACAACAAACTTTGGCACTTTTCCCTTTCAGATGCACGTGGCAACCTCATTGCCGATATCTTGAACGGCTCCCCCTATGGGGTACTTAATGAAAAGATGCAAACCAGAGTTCCGTCATCTGGCCCTTCACCCTCACCAGATATCTCAATAGCGTCAAGAAACCTGCTTTCATCAATCGACTGGCAAGTCTTTACGGCCCTTGGATCCGACCACCTACCAATTGTGTTGACCCTCAATGCCGCCAAGCCTCCACAAACTCCTAAACCGCTTATATTACAAGCTAACTGGACACTTTTACTTCAGAATCAGAAGCATTGTTCACCGACAACATCAACCATATCCACACACCTGCACATAACTCTGAAAGATTTTCAGAAACATCATCGCAACTACCACCAAGCACACCATCCCGGCGGGTTGATACAAGCAATACCTTCCCTGCCTCCCTAAAGAAGCCTCAACGCTAATAAACCTACTCTGAGGACTGAAAATCCTACATTGCCACAAATCCCAGCCTTCAATATTGAAATCACAAAGCTAATCAATCAAGCAAAAACAGAACGCTGGCACGAGCTTGTTGAATCTTTTGACCATCGCCAAAACTCATCAAAACTTTGGAAGACCATCAAAGCCTTAGACAGACACTCCAAACCGCCTCCCAATTATGCAATCAATTTCAACAACAAATCTGTCATAAACAACAATAACATCGCCAACCACTTCAACAAACGTCTCATCAGTCGTCCCACACTCTTCTAATAAATCCGCCCGTCAAAAAATCCGTCAAATCAAGGAACTACCTCTAAACGGCGCCCCCCAATTTACCATTGAAGAGGTGAAACTAGCTATAAAAAAGCCAAAAATTATTCCACAATTGGCCCGGATGGCAGCGCTATGCCCTATCTCAAACACCTCGGCCCCCTTGGCATAAAGTTTCTCACCTCCACCATTAATGCCTCACTGCAGTGCAACCGCACTCCGGCCATCTGGAAATCATGGACAATCATCCCACTTCCAAAACCCGGCAAAGACCTAAATCAAGCAACGTCCTACAGGCCGATCTCCCTACTTTGCTCATCAATCAAGATTTTAGAGGCCCTCATCCTTCCAATCATCACCACCGAATTAACTCCATCGTCTCACCAACATAGCTTTCGCCCTGCACACTCAACAACAACAGCTCTTCTCAACCCAACCACCAAAATTGCAAACGGTTTCAATGGGAAAAAGCCCCCATCTCGCACTATCGTTGCCTCCCTTGATCGTGTTGTGCGCCTTTTGGCGTCATCTGGTCCAACCCATGTGAGACTAGGCTCTAAGGAAAGCTGTCTCGGGTGTGGACCAATCAACTTCAAGGAAAGTGCATACATTATCAGAGTTGTGTTTTTTGTTTGCATTATGACTGCAGGTATTGTGGTCTATGCAAATATGACTCCTCGTAAAAAAGGTGTCAGTTTTGTTGCCAGATAAAAGGATAAAAAACCCAATTATCATATTTTTTACTGGCAAATGAGGTACCAATGGTGCTTTCGACACCGTTAACCACCTCACGCTCATCAACATCATCCAGGGTTCTACGCTACCATCAGGCCTTGTTTGCTGGCTTATAAATTACCTAAGGGGCCGCCAATCACGCACTCTCTTTCGTAATATTCAATCCTCCTCACGAAACATTCATGCAGGAGTACCCAAGGTTCCATATAATCCCCAGCGCTGTTCAACGCCTACCTCCACTATCTACCAACTCCTCCAAACGGAGTAGAAGTAGTCAGCTATGCTGACGACATCACAGTTTACATTTCTAATAAAAATATACCCAAAATAGAAAACTCCATCAACTCGTATCTAAAACGGCTTAGCACTTTTCTAGCCAAGAGATCGCTTCAACTCTCAACATCCAAATCAAGTCACCCTTTTCACACCTGATCCTCATAAATCCAACTTACTCCCAACGTCATAATAATCAATCAACGCCTCCCACTAACAAAACCCCCCAAAATTCTAGGTGTAACCTTTGACACCATGTTTAGCTTCGCTCAACACGGCAGAAACGTCCATGCAAAAGTTACCAAACGAAATAACATCTTACAAGCTTTAGCCGGCACATCTTGGGGTCAACAAAAGGAGACTTTACTCCTAACCTACAAAGCCATTGGACATCCCATCATTAATTATGCCAGTCCCATTTGGTGCCCAAACCTCTCCTCTACAGGTTACCAAAAGCTCCAAACCTCTGACAACCAAGCACTTCGCCTAACTACAGGATGCCACCTTATGGCGCCCATTGACCATCTCCACCAAGAAACCAAAGTTCTTCCGATTCAAGAACACTGCAAGCTTCTCACCGATCAATATCTGGCTTCATGCCACTCGACAACGCATCCTTGCACAAAGCTACTCAAAGCCCCAGCTCTGCCAACGTGCAATCTACTTTAAATGCTCTTCCACCAAATAGCACCACCAAATCAATTTTGAACCACTTGCACACCACTGCCACCATGCACTGCCTGAACGCCTACAAGCCCAATCTCGTGCTAGGGGGTTGGCCCTCACCCATAGCAGACGACGAGAAATCCCTGACCCAGGCAATTCGCATAAAAATAGCTCAACTCCGTTCAGGTTACTGCTCCATGCTAGCCGATTACCAAAATCGAATCCACTCAAGCAATGCCCAAAACGCAGACCAAAAATTAAATCGATTGATCTCTGGCTAAACCCTTCCAAAGTGGCGACACAACGCCACCTATAAACAGAAAGTGCGAGGAAAACAACAACAACAACCATAGAGCTCGCTGTATTTCCGACCATCATCACCTAGCCAGTGAACTGGAACACGTACTCCAAGCTCTCAAGACTAATGGATATTCAGACTACACAATCCGTAAAGCTATCACCCCAACTCGTTGGAAACATCTGAGGACCCAATCAAAAAAATCACCTTGCCATACACAGCAGGGGTCACCAAAAATATTTCCTAAATCATAAGCAAACACAAAATCCAGGTTCGATTTAACACAGTACATAAAATTTGTGTTCTGATCCCATCTGTGAAGGATGTGATCCCTGACATGCAATACCCCGGCGTCTACAAACTAAGCTGTGTCTGCGGCAGTAGTTACATTAGGGAAACTAAGCGACATGTCTCAGACCATGTTCGTGAACATAAGGCAGATCTGAAATACGGTAGGACCAATACCTTGACCGTGGCTGATCATTGTCTTAATGCATTGGGCTCACACGAAATTGATTTCTCCAAGACGAAGGTACTTGGCAAACCCACTGGCTATCAGCAAAGATGAGTACAAACTGAGCAATCATTGGAAGGACGTTATTAACCAGTCTAAGTCATAACTGGCTGTGATGTTTCCATCCTACCTTCCAATGTTAGTTGTTATTTTCGGCTCTCTGATTTTACATTAACAGGTTAAATTTCTTACACTAACACAGCTACCTCGCGCGCCGACGTGGCGGCAGCTCTACGATCTTACATTAACATGCTAATCTCTCACATTAACATAGCCACCTCCACGCCCTCGCCGTGGATGTCGCCCTCCGATCTTACATTAACATGCTAATTTTTAACATTAACATCACTAGCCCCGCCCACTTCGTTACTGAACCTTGGGCTACACCCATTTTAAACCTTTAAAACAGTCTGCCTCAGCAGCTTTCATTTTTTTTCCTCCCGATGACGATCGCTTGTGTTGTGATCGAAACGTCGTAGTTTTTTATTTTCTTTGAACCTATCTACGTAACGTTGCCGAAAGACCCAAAGAATATGAAGTGGCTTATCATGTGGAAATGTATATCAGCCAAATACTCTAAATGCATACTGATTCTAAATATGGAGGGAAAATACAGAAGACCTGGAAAAAAATCCATGTGACCACGGGGAGAACATGCAATCTCCAAATATACAGGCGTCAAGGTCGGAATTGAACCCACGACGTTCCGTATACCAAGCGAGAGAGATAACATCTCGCCGCCGTGGCGTTTTAATTAAAATCTCTAAAATTTTAGACCATGACGCCAGAACACGTCATGGGATCTTTAACGTCGGTTCGCTGTGAAGCAGACGGCGAGCAGTAGTAGTAGTAATGTTACGCTCAATATGTGCCGCAGTGACCTGCAACGGGCGGCGATCACACTCCCGCTGGGCCACGTCATCTCCACGGCACCGGCTTCGACATGATGCTTCACAAGCCCGGCTCGCTCACCTTGCTCTCCTGGTTGCCGTAAGCCAGCAGCTGCAGGCAGTCGGTGGTGATGGCGAGGAACTTGACGTTGTTCTTGTTCAGCAGGGCCACCATCTTCTGCAGGCCACCTGCCAGGCGCACGGCCATCTTGCTGCCCTCCTGATGCAACAGCAGGTTGTGCAGCGTGGTGATGGCGTAGAAAAGCACTGACTCCACAGGGCAGCTGCCACCGCACGGGAAAAATCACATTCACTTTAGCCGGGGCGGTGGCGGTAGTGTCAGCTACTCAAGTGGCCTGTATTTCAGCACTGTGGAGGCAAGCGTTGGTGGATCACCACAAGGATGTCGTGAAACTCCCTTCGTGTGGGCGTCAATGTTGCCATACCCTGACTCACCAGGAGATGGCGGAACAGTAAATGGATTAATCTCCATCTGTTTCCATCCATATGAGGACACAGCATTGCCACCCTTGCATGCGAGGTTTTTCTATGGATACCCCGGTTTCCTCCCACAAGTATAACACCCACGAAAGGAGTAGGGCAAACATTGCAATGTAGGGTCATAGAGCTTGGGCAATTGTTGGCACTGGTACAAGCTGCCTTCGCACTTGTCTGTGATTTCCCTTGCTGAACTAATGAACTGTCCACGGCATTAACATTTGTAACTCAACCATACCAAATCCTTCATTCGATTTATCATGAAACCATAATTTTTTATATTATTATTACTACTACGCTTGTTTACCCACAAAAGCCTCACAGTCTTAACTCTTTTCAGGACGGTCCTTCCAAGTTTTCACAGTAGGGGGCGATGTTACTACTTTGTATTGCCAATTGAGTAATTTGCAGATAATTTTTCATACTCACCCACAGAATGGGGGGAGAACATATAAAATCCACACTCACACACACTCTGCAGAACGGAGAGAGCACATACAAACTCCACGCTCACACGCACACTTACACTGCAGAACGAAAGGAGAACATGCAAATTCCAACACAGAAAGTCACTCGACTTGGGAATCGAACGCAGGCCCTTCTTGCTGGGAGGCACAAGTGTTACCGATGTACCACCACCCTGCTTAACTGGAAGACCATCTCGACTTCAGAAGACACTTGAACTGTGGACCTAAACTTCTCCATCAATCTCCCGTTCGTCAGAGGCTGCACGACGCTGTTTGTTAAATCGGCTGCCCCTTGCGCGTTTTGCGTTCGCCGCCGCGCTGCACCTGAGCAGCTTCACGAGGGCTGGGATGCCTCCTGACTTGAAGATGGCCAGCAGTCCCTGGCGGTGGTGCGACAGGTTGTGGAGGGCCCCGGCAGCACAGCGAGCCGTCTCCATGTCGTTGGTGTTCTGGGCAGCGCGCACCAATGCCGCCACCATCTGGGGGGAATCCATGATGGCGTGGCGAGCCGCCTCCTTCTTCGACAGCTGATGCACCATCATGGCGGCGTTACCCATCACGACCTGCAGCGCGCACACGCGGCAGATGAGCACAGCTCGGTTGGGACACAGAGTTATAATGTTCAAAATTATTGAGTATATATGGTATTTGCACCATTCCAACAGTGAATGAAAGGCTATCACGAAGGAAGGCGCTATGTTTCAGATAGAGTCTGTAGTAGTTTCACAGGAGGAATGATGTTCCTGGGTGTCATTACAATTTAGTCACGGTGTATGTAAGAAGCCTGTGTGAGTGTATGGACCCTGTGCGTGTAGTCTATGTGTGTAGGAATTATATGTCTGTAGGGAGTCTACGTGTGTGTAGTCTGTGTGTGTGTGCGTGTAATGAGTCTGTGCACGTGTGGAGGTTGCCACATTGCCTAGTCACCCACGCACCGGGTCATCATCGTTGAGCAGCTTAGTAAGCTCGGGGATGGCGCGCGTCGCCACCTCGGCGTCGTCCTGGTAGTTGATGAGGTTCACCACGGCCTGCTTCAGCATCTGCGACGGCTCAGCCAGGCGCTGCACGTTGGTCGGCTGCTCGGTATCGAACTGCGTGGCCGGCACCTGCGCGCCCTCCTCCAGCGTCTCTGGGAACATGGCCGCTCGGATGCGCTGGGCGCGCGTCGACGCAAAGTGGCTCTCGGCGTCTGTGGGCACGGATAAGTCGGCGGCATAAGGACCGTCATGCCACCACTCGCCCACCCGTTGTGGGGATGAGTTTTATCCTTGCGGCAACCGGTTAGCAGTTGGCTACGTACGGTGCGAAAGAAGTTAAACTAAAACTAAAGTATATTCTTGGTTCTTTCGGTAAAGTCACGTAGAAGGGAAATAATAAAATAATACTAATATAAAACAATAACAATTCTCACGTTTCGATTGCAACACAAGCAATCATCAAATTTTCTTGCTGTGGATTTCACACCTGATGATGATTGCGTGTGTTGCAGTCGAAACGTCGTGATAATAAAATAATAGAAATATAAAACAATAAAAATTATTTCCCTTCTACGTGACTTTACTGAAAGAACCAAGAATATGAATCCCTGCAGTCACGAAAGCTTTAAATCAAAATAAAACTCAACTATTTTTATTTTACCAAGGCCCACTGAGCTATATAGCTCAACGAAGTGGCTCATGTGGAAATGTATAGCAGCCAAATTCTCTAAACGCATGCCAATTCTACGTGTAGAGGTAAAAACCAGAGGACTCAGAAAAAAATATCCACGCAACCATGGGGAGAGACACGCAAACTCCAAATATAATGACGTCAGGGTCGGGATTGAACCCACAGCCGCGTGCATACCAGGCGAGGGAGATAACATCTTAGCCTGGTCACTCAACGACCGTACAATGAATAACATCGTTATAGTTTGACTATACATTTTATTTGGCTAAATTCCAGCTCTGAGAATTACAAAAGAAAACAAATATTTAGGTTTGGGATATCCATGCCAAGATTATTGCTCTGAGTGGTACAACAGGCAGATTGGTGCTGACATCTGTTGTGAATAGCAAAAATCACTTGAGAAACATCTCACCACCGTGGCACTCCACGGTGTGCATGGACAGAAGTTCAACTTACATACATACCAAGTCCCCACTTAATGCGCGGTGCGCACATCACGCGTTTTTGCTGTAACGCGGTTGGTTCGTCCGTCCGGGGAACACTTTTCGCGCAACGCAGAACGCGTCACTGCGATAACCCGGAACGTGCACCGTTATCTAATCTTACCTATATGTATATAGCGCCTTCGTCCAAGGTGCTTTACAACAATTATAAAATTGTGCATAAGATGATTTCAAGTTCAAGTTCATTTATTAGGTATAGCCCTGTGAGCCATTCGGCTCTTAAATCGGGTGCAACCGCAACAAACAAAAAATATGAACAAAAAAACATCTTAAAGTGATAGTGGTTAAAATAAAGAATATGAGTTATTCAAAGTGGTCGTATAGTTATGGTGACAGGATGGGCGGGAGAGGTGAAGGAGGGGCTGGGGTAGTGACAGGGGTAATGATAGGGGTAGTGATAGGGGTGATAGCTGTAGTATTAGGGGTTGGAGTCAGCCTGGTTTTAGATGGGGGAAGGATTCTTCCAATTTTGCCAATTTTTAACAGTAGGGGGCGATGTTCCTCAAGTAAACTTTTTTTTTTTCACCAGGAAAGGCCCACTGAGCTATACAGTTATTTCTCAGAAGTGACCTAGCCACAAATGATAGCTCAATGAAGTGGCTTATCATGTGGACATTTATAGCAGCCAAATACTCTAAACACATGTTGATTATAAATGTGGAAGAAAAAACCAAAGGACTTGGAGAAAAAGCCATGTGACCACGGAGTGAACATGCAAACTCCCAATAAACAGGCATCAGGGTCGGGATCGAAACCACGAACTCCTGCATACCAGTCGAGGGAGTTAACATTGCCACCACGGTGCTGTGTGTCATTTTGCTGCTGTGTCATGTCAAATGAATGCAAATTTTGAGCAAGTGGATCCCATCATGAACACTGTAATCCTATAGGTCTCTGTGGGCCTGTAGCAACCGTGTGAGCCTATGGGGCCTGCGTGAGCCTACGGGCTTCTTCTGTGTGGGCCTATGGGCTTCTTCTGTGTGGGCCTATTGGCTTCTTCTGTGTGGGCCTATGGGCCTTTGTGCGAGCCTAAGGGCCTTTGAACCTTTTGGCGGGACCCCAGGGTCCCGAATAAACGGAAGTTAAAATCGTAATTACTTAATGTATTTTTGGCGACTACGTCCCACCGCGCACATAAACACCGTGACCCACCTGGCACGGATAATTCTGTCATGTCGTCCAAGTGCAGCGAGGATGAATGCGCAGAAAAAGCTAAACTATTAAACTTTTATTAGCGCATCGTGTAGAGCTTTTCGAGATGAATAGATTGCCGTATCGTTCGCCTTCAACAGAAATAAAATAACGTCGCAACACAGTTTATGTGAGAGTCGGGGGCTTATGGGACCCCGGGGTCCTGCCATAAGGTTCCTTTGTGCACTCAATTCATATATCCAAATGAAACAAGAAAGCCAAGTCGAAAGTGGCGCATACCCGGGGTGTGGTCTCGCGACAGGTTCGCGTTGAAGGTCCGTTCCCACTCATAGACGACGCGCGTTTCCTCTCCATCCTCGGGGTTGCCCTTGCCGCTGAGCGATGGCGCCGTGGTGTTCACCCCGGACTGGATGCCCGAGTCCAGATAGGACTGCTGCTGCCACTGGGTGACCTGCACCTTGCGGTCAGGTTCCAGCTGCATGTCCAGCTCCATGAAGTCAGCTGCAAATGACAAACACCAAGCCCTCACCTCTCTCGCTTAGATTTTCAAAAGTCAGCTTTAATTTTCTTCAAGAAGAAAATAAATAGAACAAATGTTGGAAATCGTGCAAAATCAGCACGAAGAATTACACATTGAGAATTACACAGAGAAACGGGAAGAGCAACGCGTGGATTAAGTATCACACAGGCAGGTTACGGGCACCGCATGGATTGTTAAGAAAACGTGGGCTTGGGGCATGACACTCACACAGAATGAACGACACCTGCGCATCGAGACTGGCATCGGAATCGTAGCTAAAGGATGGAATGCACTCATAGGGAAACAGGGCCACGTGCAAGAGCTAAATGGATTCATCACGAGACTGAGGGATGGCATTGCCTTGGGGCAGCCTTCATCTGGCAGTTGATATAGCACAACCAACAATGAATGGAAACTTTAATTGCGTCCGGCTGTATACACGTACAGCCCACGTGTCAGTCCACTGCTGGCTGAGGGCCTCATACTTCACCATGCTGGTCAGTGCAAGTTGGCGATGGTGGGGGGTGGGGAACATATATGTTGGAGGAAAGTGTAGCAAAACAAAGGATTTTGCTGTACTGTGCTCTGCTGACAATGTAGCCCCACAAGCAGCATATAACGCCTGTTTCATTCATGCATGGCGATCACCTAGCTGGAATAGAACTTCCTTTCCAAATCTGATGAGACTGGGTGCAATTCGGGTGTTTTGGTCAAAGATGCATTCATCTAAACCGATAATGAATTGGACATCCTGACCTCCCCTGCATTTTTAGTCCGACTTTATGAACCCTATTCTGAAGATGTGTGACGCAGTTTAAAATGACACGTCCCATATCTAAATGCAGAAATTTGTAGATAGAATCGTTCTTTAACTTACCAGTGAGCTAAAACAATAATTTGAACGTTGTTAAATGCTTGTACACAACAGGTGGTGGAGGGTCTTAACGATACATATTTGGTCAGATCATCATGAACCGTATAACTTGTCTGTGCAGTTAGAGACTAAGGGGATTTAGGTAAGTGCCATTTGAAATAAAAAAAAATACAAGCAAAATGCCCTTTGATCAAATGGACAGAGAACTTTAAAGATCTAAAGGTGTCTATTTGACTTATTTTTTGATATTAAATAATGATTAGCCTTGTTTACTCAGGAATGCCTTGCCGAGTCTCAAGACTTTTTCTACTATTAACTATTTTTATTACCAATTTTTATTTCACCAGGTAAGACCCAATGAGCTATATAGGTATTTTTCAGAAGTGACCTGGCCACAAATATTAGCTCAATGAAGTGGCTTATCATATGGAAATTAATAGCAGCTAAATAATCTAAACGCATGTTTATAATAGTGGAGGGAAAAACTTGAGAACCCGCAGAATAATCATAGCGACGACAGGGAGAACATGCAAATTCCAAATACACAGGCATCAGGGTCGGGATCCGGATGTTCTGGTCATACCAGTTACATTGTGTGCAGTGTTAGCTATGGGAGGAAACCGGAAAACCCAGAGGAAACCCATGCAGAACAAAACTCCACACAGAAATCCACCCGAGTCGGGATTCTAACCCAGAATTTCTTACTTTGAGGCATGAGTGTTGACACTGCGCCACCCTGCCGCCCACAGTTATTTCACCTGATTGTTAAGCCACTTCACCCTTTTGCAAACAAGGAAATGCTGAGAAAAAAGATGTTGTTTCTGCTTCAGCAAACACTTTTATGGCATCAAAGTCCAGTAACGGCCAGACTAAAACCAGTGCAATCTCCGAGTCCATACACGTCAAATGGCTTGTGTTGGATTCTAAGACATCTGACATTGCCATGCGATGGCGGCACACACCTGTAATCCAGCACTGAGAGCATTGGCAGTGAAACTCCCTTCCTGTGGGCATCATAATACCATACCCTGGCTTTCAAGAGATGGTGGTAGAAGAAAATGTGGAGCAACCTCCATCTGTTGCATCTGCATGGAAAGCATTGCCCCTTCGCACGCGTGGGTTTTCTGCAGGTGCTCCGGTTTCCTCCCATATATATAAACACTAATTAATTAGCTGATAATATATAGAGGACGGCAGAGCTTGGGCAATTGTTTGCACCGGCTCACCTCCTGGCCGCTGCCTTCCCGCTCGTCTGTGGTTCCTCGCACCTCAAGAGTTGTTTCCCTCTCATAGAGAGCGAGCAAGCGAGAACTGTGCTCGTCATGAACCTAAATCCCAGTTCTATACGTCTCCTACTGATCAGGACTGTGGGAAACTGACTTATTTGCATTAAAATCTCTTTTGAAAAAAAAAGTTATTTTTAAATTGATGCCATGGGAAAAGTTTCACACCAAGAAATTTAAGCTCTCCGCAAAACAGCTGCAAACATTCTGCATTGTGATGCGTTCTTGAGTCTGCTGTGCAGCGTCAAATTCCTGCCGCCGATTTCTATCCCGATCACATTCCCCAGTTGTGAATTTTCCTAGGGTGGCGACAGGGCCCAATGGGGTTGCGCTCGCCACTTGTTGTAGTGGTTCGTGGTTCGAAACTCGCAGGCCACCCTGCTTAAAATTGCAGGTGTATTGACCGTGAAATACACGTTGTGTGGTTGGAAAAGAGTAGGCCATTGTGTGCCAGCGTCATGGTCAAATCTGAAAAATTACACTGCAAATTACTAAAGTGGCACTACACCCCCCCGACTGTTAAACTACGATGATAGCCTTGCACTGTAGGAATGGCGTAAACACTAAATGGTATATATTCATGGTTGATATTTCAAGCCTTGAGATTCTGGCATTACATATTTTTACATCTCCTTTTTTGTCACTCTTTTAGCACAATAAACATTTTCCGCCATTTCAGACTACGTCAATTATCCAGATATAAATAGCCAGCAGCAAGCATCAAACGACAACTCGCTGCAATTGATAACCTCGTTAACATGCGGACAGCTACCCAGATTCAAACCCAGCATATACGTGGTGCCAGCCAAGCGCTCTGAAGACAGTACAATTACTACAATTTTTATTTTACCAAATAAGGCCCACTGAGCGACATAACTGTTTTTTAGAAGCGACCTGGCCACAAATGATAAGTCAATCAAGCGGCTTATCATGTGGAAATGTATAGCAGCTAAATCCTCTAAACGCATGTTTTTAAATGGAGGGAAAAACCGGAGAAAAACGGAGGACCCGGAGAAAAATTCACGCGACCAAGGGGAGAGAGGGATTGAAACCACGACCTCCTGCATAACAGCGAGGTATATAAAATCTTGCCAACGTGTCACCCCTAAGCCTCCTATTATTATTATTGTTGTGCTTGAATACCAAGGAAAGACTCATTGAGCATTGGGAATCTTCTTCAGGGGGGATCGTGCCAGTTTTCAAGTAGGAGACGAGGTTGCTTTTGTGTGTAATACCAAGTGAGTAACATGCAGATGATTTTGCAGCATTGGGATTTTCAGCCAATACCAGTAAACATTGTACGTTTGTTTTTAGCAATGGGAGGAAATCAGAAAACCCATAGGAAAACTCATGCAGAGCAGGGAGAGAGCGAACATACAAACTCCAAAGAGATAGGCACCCAAGTCAGGAATAGAACCCAGATGATTCTTGCTGTGATGGAAGTATTACCATTGCATCACCCTGATGGCCAAATAATAAAAAACTTACTCTTAAGTATACACACTTACAACGCACGCATGAGAGGATGAACATTAAACCTTTGCTTTATTTCAAGAGGGAAATTAATGTACACGTTACCTTGGCTAGCCATGGTCTCTTAGGCGTTGTGGTCGGTACTGCTCAGAACCAACGTATACTTTTCTCTTGGCGCAAAAGTAAAGTCCACCTGAAAGTTCAGATACACAAAACCACGTGAAATTATGTACATGTATGAAAGCACGGACATCTACACACTGCACCAGGTACTCATTTAGACCTCGGGAAAGCTCGGGACAGGTTTAGATATAATTAGCCACTCATGTTGGCTGTGACCAGGAATCAAACTCAAGTCACCGGGTTCATAGTGAATTGCATTTACCACTATGCCACTGTGAATTTGTGTTGGACCAAAAACAGAGATCCCCCATTTAGCCTTCACAGCTTGTTGGGGCAAGTGCTGTTTGCGAGTTGCACCTATAAAGGCCAGAACAGCACACAAGGGGGTTGGTGGACAGCATCACGCCTTTGTCTCCGCACCAAGTACTCAAATGAGGCTAAATTGACCGAGGGGAGGCCTGGGACTGGTTCAAATAATCGCCAGTGGTGTGGACCGTGAGCGGAAACAGAACTTGTGTTGCCGGATTCATAATGAAGTGTGCTAGCCGCTGCACAACCGCTTAAAAAAAACACACACACACTGCAAAACCATATTTTGGGTAGCAGGGTGGCACAATGATAATACTTGTGCCTTACAGCAAGAAGGGGCTGTATTCGATTCCTAACTCGGGCACCTTTCTACGTGAGGTTTGTATGTTCTCTCTCTGTTCTGCATGGGGTTCCTCTGGGTCCTTCAGTATCCTCCCAAAGATAAAATAAACCCCTACAATTTGGACCTAGTATTGGCCAAATATCCTAATGTTGAAATATTACCTGAAAATTACTTCATTGGGATTACATACACCAGCAATATTGGCCCCTACTGTGAAAACCAGACACGACCCTGCTCCTGAAAATGTCCTTGCTTTTTTGGGTAAGCCAGCGTAAATAACAAAATAAACGTGTCACCAGACAAAGACAGTCTGCAGTGGAGGTTGACCAGTACAGGCAGACAATCATTAAATGTAGTCCAATGTTCCACTCGTCATTTAATGAATGGGGAATTACTAATCACATCTTCAGAATATTGTGACTTCTCCATCATACAGTCATACACGTGCCAGTCTGTGCAGCCTAGGTGCTGAAAAACAGAGACAAATGACAGCCCATTTGGGACTTACACAATGGAATATCAAAAGCTTAAATTATGGATGATTATTATTATGCTTGTTTACCCAGAAAAGAATAACTTAGTGTCAAGACTTTTTCAGGAGGATTTTGCCAAGTTTTTGCAGTGGGATGTTTGGCCAATACCAGTTTCATTTTTTAAAATCTTATATTGTAAGCTATGGGAGGAAACTGAAAAACCTAGAGGAAACCCATGCAGATCAGGGGGAGTACATACAAACCCCATGCAGAAAGGCACCTGAGTTGGGAGATGAATATAAGCCCTTCTTGAAGCTTTTTAAACTATGAACTATTTTTTATTCTACCAGGAAAGGCCCAATGAGCTACATAGCTCTTTTTCAGAAGCGACCTAGCCAAAAATGATAATGCAACTAAGTTTCTTATAGTGTGAAAATTTATAGCAACCAAATACTTTAAACGTATGTTTGTAAATGTGGAGGAAAAACCCAGAGGACCCGGAGACAAATCCATGCGACCACAGGGAGAACATGCAAACTACAAATATACAGGCGTCAGGGTTAGAATCGAACCCACAACCTCCTGTATGCCAGGCGAGGGAGTTAACATTCACCACCACGGCGGGTGACCTCCCTTCTACCATAATAACATGGTGTTGCAGACGTGTATAGAGGACCCACGCCACACAGATCTCGAGCATCCAGTTAATTATAATTATCAGCGCCCCACAGCACAACGCCTAACTCACTGCCGCCATCTCTATGTGAATATTCCCCATGCTCACCCTGCAAGTGCTTCTCAGGTTACTTAGCCCATACCAGTCTCCACCATTATATATTGGTCATAACAAGTCTGTGCTCTTTACTACAGGCTCTTTATGGGCGGCCGGGTGGCTCAGTGGTAACACTTGTGCCTCTTGATAAAAATGGAGTGGGTTCACTTTCCAACTTAGGCACCTTTCTGTGCAGAGTTTGCATGTTCTCCTCCTATTCTGCATTAGTTTCCTCTGTGATCCCCACACACTGTAAGTGGTATTGGCCAAACATTCCAAATCAAATGCTGAAAAATTACCCACACATTACTAAATTGGGAATAGACATAGCAACGTTTCCCCACTCCTGCAAAAGACTTGGTAGGACCCTTCTGGAAAAGGGTCTTGAGGCTTTCCTGGGTTAACAAGCAAAAATATAATGAAGATGAAATCTATCCTGAACAGCTGACTTGGTTCTTACATCCAAAGCAATAGCAATCCCTATCATAGTGCAATGCACAAGGGGACATTGTAAAGTTAAAATCATCTTGCATCTCTTCATGCGATACCCTACATTATGTACCTTTCTTCATGTACAATGCTATTATTGTCCAACAATGTGCCAGGCTGCTGAATCTGATATTGTGTAGGGAGCAGGGTGTGGTGCAGGGTGTAAGTGTAGGTGTAATGCATGGAATGTCGTGCAGGGCACTGTACGTTTTTTTCTGAGGGTAATGTTGCTCAAGAGAGGCTGCTCCGTCTACTTTACGTAAAGTGTTGTATATTTTACAGGCCAACAACATCACACGCAGACCCACGCACATGCAACTATACATCATAAATCTCACTCTGTGCTGGTCAGTATGCTCTGATTTGGAATTACCTTTGTATTTGACGCTCCATGAAACATGTAATCAATACAGTATTGTGTACGATAGTTCCAAGCCTTGGCCATTAAATGATGACCCCAATAAATCTGACAGGTGCTCAAGTGTTATTGTTTGTCAGAGCCTTTAACATTAACATCGATTTCTCTCAATCCTGGGGGATGTCACGGGCTGGCTCTATGCATTATGATCCTCGATTATGATTGCTATGATCCTCCCGCACCAGGATGGCTGGTGCATTGGTAACGCTTGTGCCTCACATCAAGAAGTCCCTGGGTTCAACTCCCAACCCAGCCGCCATTGTGCGTGGCGTTTTGATGTGCTCCTCCTGTTCTGCATGGGTTTCCTCAATATTCGCCAGTTTCCTTCCATAGCTAAATCATACCATGCGATGTAACTCGTGCCTCAGGTGAGCTTTACTGGTTAGAATTTGATAAATACATTGCTAAGTATAAATTATATCTCTGTAAACGTGACAATCTTGTCGGGTGGTGGAAGGTTGATGATAAACATTTTGGCATAAAACTAATACGTGGACTGACCCATAAACAAATACGGCTCATTGTATTGGCTACGGAAATCTATGTATTAAGTTAATTTAACTTTCATTGGGCAAATCATCCCAATGATGAAAATATTTGCTAATTAGTCGACAGAGATTACACACAGCAGCGAAATTGCCCCCCTCAGTGAAAACTTTACATAACCCTCCTGAAAGAGTCTTGAGACCAAATAAGGCTTTTCTGGGTAAACACGCATAAATAACATTAATTTAAAACTAAAATTGCTGTAGCTTCCTGTCTTTCTTCTTGTGCATGGCTCAAGACAGACAAGAGGCCACATAAATAATCCTAATCAAGTAACTTTGCCTCCTGTGAATTAGTACAGTGTGTTTCCCACAAATTAACTAAATTAAAACATGTTTTTATTTTACCAGGTAAGGCCAACTGAGCTATACAGCTATTTTTCAGAAGAAACCTGGCTACAAATGATAGCTCAACGAAGTGGTGTATGTGGAAATGTATAGCAGCCACATAATCTAAATAATCTAAATGCATGTTTCTAAATGTGGTGCGAAGAACCCAGAGAAAATCCACACGAAAATCCAACTCCACTACGTGGATCTGAGCTGGGTCTTTGCCAGAGCCAACCTTCACTCACAACTGTACCCAGCTACATTCCCATGGACTGCAGAGCCCATCCCAGCCCATTCATTCGCTCCCTGCTGGCCCACCCTCCCCATACTGCCACCCACACTGCACCGCCTATGCCCTAAGGCCTAGCGACCAAGCCAGGGAAGGTGGACCTTTGCTGGGCAGGAATCTAGGTGAGCTCAAGAGGGCGTTAGACAGGAAGTGGGTAAAAGCGGAGTATCTACGCTGAATGTATGTTGTCAGATTGTTTATAATTAATCAATGTAACGTGTGTTTTTTGGTTATTAATTTGTCTCCATGTTGTTTACAACCATGGCTTGGTGATTGATTGAATGAATGCACGAGTGCGTACTGACAAGCAAATAATCCTGAGTCTCAGGAATGTGTTGAACCTGAAGAAGAAGAATCTTGCAGTTGCCTTAGACTGAACATTTAAAGCAAAAAAATTAAGATATAAATTCAAAGAGAAGACGAAGCTAATTAACATCAACAATATAGATCAAGATGTGCGGGGATTTAGACTGGTTACAAGCAACGGCTTCAAATCCCCATGGAAGCAACATGATTGAATGGAAATCATTATTTAAATAGAGTACAGTACTAACATTGTAATGGGCAGTCCATTGCAATCGGGGGGAGGAGGTGGGGGGGCAAGGTGAAGAGACATCAACTAAAACCACATGGTGAGCAGGAGGAGAAAATATGGAAGGAGATGAAAATGGCAAATGAAATATTCAGGATGCAGCACCCCCAAATAATACCTCACTGCGCTCTACTGTATAAAGTTCAATGTAAAGCAGTCAAGGTGATGGATGATCCAGCACTGATGAGCTCCTGTCACTCACCGGCAGTCAGTTGCCTCCTTATCACTCTTCTATTGCTACTACCACCACGGTTACTCTTCCTGTGAACTTCACGCATTAATTTCTCCACCCATTTTGAGGAATCTGTCTCCCACAAAACTTACCGTTTTGTCTCAGCAATAGTCTACAATCAGCACACTGCAGGTCAAAACAACAGACTCGCCCACTCATCACAATTCAGCTCACAATACACTCACCCACCACACTTCAGCTCACAACACACTCACACACTTACCACACTTCAGCTCACAACACACCGACCCACTCACCACTACACTGCAGGTCACCTCATCTTCTTTCTGCTCTTTCTTCGCACTGATCCACTTCAGAATTCCTTTTCATCATCCCTTCAAGCGACGTATCCTCACCTAGGTCCCCCCTCATTGTATGAATTATGTCATTAAACTGCGTGTGTGTTTTCTCATCCACGAGTTCCTCGTTCTGTCTCTCAATGTAATTCCAAGGTGTGCATCCATCTCCCCATGCTTCTTTGCGCACTTTTAAGTTGTTGGTCTGCCTTTTGTTAACGACCATGGTGTTTCTAAACCATGTGTCAGAGCGGGGAGTGCACACGGTGTAAAACATGAGCTCATGCGGAACAGCGATGACTGTATTACGGTGCCTGTGTGCAGCAATCGAGGCTATATAACTCCGCAATGTTACCTCATCAGCACACATGTTATTATAGTATTGCGACATGCGCAGTATTATACGTTTGCAATTACGATTTTATTCGGTGGATTATTGTGACATAAAGCATATCCATTGTACTACATCCATTTTACTGTACATCTGTGAAAGAGCTTCATAGTCCATCGGATTTCTCGAGTCTAAATATTCAGATTCTGACATGAACACAGCCCCATGAACCCCACAGGGACGTCCTCATATGAGTGCTGTCTCTCCACTGCTGGATGATACCCACAACTATCTCCACTGCTGGATGATGACATCATAATTATATCTCCACGATCATCTCTTCTGAATCTCCTCTGATGGATGACACACATCGTTACCTCTCTGACATCTCCACTGCTGGATAACCATTATCTCTATTCCTCATCTCTTACCTGTCTAGTCATTACAAGTTTAACACTGTAATAGATATATTCTGGTAACATTATGGTTAAAGTGTCCTCATGATTACGTGGGGCATATGTATTGTCATCCATAACCACGGCCGCATGTGCTCCCACAAGGCTGTCTCTCTGTATCCTTCGCTGTTACTGCTGTCCTGTATCCATGCTATTATAGCGTGCTGACAACATATTACAATCTTCACTAGATTAGTGACACGATGGATTATAAATCATTACTATCATGACAGGCGCGAATATGTAATGCATTATGGTTATCAATACCATATGTTGACGAACAGGTGATTATACTCCAGCAGTGGAGATTCTGTAAAAGATCGATATGGTGGCCATAATCCAGCAGTGGATATCAGAATGACAGTAATAATACAGCAGTGGAGATATATTGAAGATGATGGCTATGAATCCAGTGGAGAAACGAGAGATGGCCATGGTTGCAATCCAGCAAGAAATGTAATATGACTACGAACAGAGATAAATACCTGCATTATAATCCAATAGTGGAGATGGTTATATTTCAACATTGTACTGTAGATGCAATTGAGATGATGGTGGTGATCACGATGGATAATGGTGGTTGATGGTGGTGATAATGGTAATACTGTAGCTATAATCCAGCTGTGGAGACACCATCGAGGAGGTGACTGTGAAGGAGTAATAGTAGTCGTCGTCGTCACGATAACACCGTGAACCATCCAGCAGCGGAGTGTCCAGGAGGAGGCCCTCACCTGCAGCAGGAAGCCCGCGCCACCACCTCACTCAGCCCGTGTCGCTCCGCGCGCGGCCCACGCCTCGTTCCTCGCCTCTGCCTTCACCAATGGGACCCTGTAGGCTGTGTGTAACTGTTGATTATAATTGGTATTGTTGTTATAATTCTTGGTACCGTCGCGAAAGATCGCTGCTGCTGCTGCTGCTGTTGTTGTTTAAGGCGGAACGAGCGCCTGGGATGGGTGGGGAGCGGGTCACTCAGCTCCGCGAGAAACCCCTCCGCAAGCCGCCTCACCGCCCATACCAGCGGTAGCAGCGCGCCGATCCCTCCGCGGACGCGCCCTCACTTCGACCCCTAACCCCTCACGCGAAGTAGTGCGTGCCATTACTACCCCTCCCTATCCCCTTTACCCCCGTGCTGCTGTTCCTTGGCTCAAGGAACAGCAGCAGTCAGAGCGACAGCGATGTCCCGCTCAAATGAGCATCAAAGAGTTCGTTGCTCATCATCTCCTGTGTACAGCCCTGCAGAGAACCAGTGGTGGAAATTCCACGTTCCGATCGCGGACCAGGTCCATCCGTAGGGGATAACCACCGGCTGACTTCCAACCCGAATTGGTGGTGTACTGCAATGTATTCATTTTATCGACCCCGGAGGGGGTGATGGGCTGAGTCAACCCTCGAACCCCGCCATCAGGATTTGAATTCGCGACCTTGCGCATATTAACATTGACGGCCTCTTGACTCGCGTCATTCCGTCGACAATGGCAATGACACACCGCCGTCCGAGTGGGCCAGTTGCAGAGGACGCGAGACGCAAAAAAGGTTTCGCTCGCTCGAACGTTGAACTTCCTTCCCACCGTACGTAGACAACCACGCTAATCGGACGCCTGTGGGGGAGGACAACCAAACTAAACACAACAATAATAAATAATTCATAATCAACGTTTTTGGGTTTAGATCGCGTTATTTATAAATGTGTCGTAACCCTCCACCACCCGACACGGCCAATCAGTAAAAATGTGTCACGTTGACAAAGACAAATAGTTCACTGCTTTAGCCCACCGGTGTGTTGTAGCCACAACATTTACAATTTGAGTACGACGTTTCGCTGGTAATTGCAACCAGCATCATCGGGCAATTCGCCAGAATGGTGAGGCTCTGCTGTCTCCCGTTCTTATAGCAAAGCCTCACCATTCTGGCGAATTGCCCGATGATGCTGGTTGCAATTACCAGCGAAACGTCGTACTCAAATTGTAAATGTTGTGGCTTCAACACACCGGTGGGCTAAAGCAGTGAACTATTTGTCTTTGTCAACGTGACACATTTTTACTGATTGGCCGTGTCGGGTGGTGGAGGGTTACGACACATTTATAAATAACGCGATCTAAACCCAAAAACGTTGATTATGAATAACATTGGTCGCGAAAGCCTACGTGTTAAAATAATAAATAAATTAGTTTTCAATCTAAATGACTTAAAAGTGCATTGCTCCAGTGGCTTTCTAATATCGGAAGGAAGAGCGTTCCAGACGGCCGCAGACGCACAACCGAAAGCACGCGACGCGGTGACTGTCTACGTCCGATGGCTATGTACTGTTTGTTGAACTTCTTTCACACCGTACGTAGCTAACGGTGCTAATCAAAGGTGCAAAATCACTCAAAACAGGACACACGGGTCTGGCGCGATGCAGCAATCCACCCAGCACACGAGCTGATTTCAGAATTAGAATCTTTATGATTTAGACTGGAGGAATCCGATGAGCTTCGAAGCTCTTTTTCACAGATGCCCAGTAGGGGGTCAGAAAGTTAGAACAAACCACGATAGGAGTGTAAAATGGAGAAGAGGTAAACAACTTACAATAAGTAAATATAATGAAGTATATACTGGAAGTACAAATTACATACATTCCTGCCGATTTGTCAACACTAAATGCAAGCTTATGAAAATGCAGCAAAAACAGCAATCTCAGACCACAACAAGACAACACACGTTCTCTTCATAAAATTGCATATTAAAATGTAACTATCGGTTGTACACGGGTAAGAGTCAAAATTACAAATCACATTTTGCAAAAGCAGTTGTATCCAGCACCTTTCTTCTGCATCAGGATATGTTTTGGAAGGAAGATTTACGATGCTAAAGGGAGGAAACGAGGTTCCAAAACGTTGGTACAATGGCAAAGGCTTTGTCACCTATTCCTATTCTCAGAGCCGTCCCGAGGCGTACGGCGAATCGGGGCATTTGCCCCGGGCCCCATGCTTTGGGGGGAGGGGGGTACGCTTTGACGCCACACTGTCAGATGTAATACTTCCGGTTTGGTTTGGGTGCCCACACACCGGGGTTTTCCCCAGGTCCTGCACCCCACCCCATAGACGGCCCTGCAAATTCTTGTTCTAGAGAGGATTAAGAGGCAACTAGATGGACATCTTAGGTTTATTGGATTTGACAATGAGCTGATTTAATCGCTCCATCACCTGGTGGACACGTTCCGTTTCGTTGCTTGGCTGCCACTCCCGGATGACGTGCCCTGTCCAAACCCACTTCTCTTAATAGTTTAAATCAGTGTTCTACATTGCAAGGCCCATGGGCCACTGTTGGCCCCTGGTGGCATTTAGTGCGGCCCCTGATGTGTGGCCCCCGATATTACACAAATGTGAAAACATCCCTTGCAGGCGGTGTGGCAGCCCTCAAAATGATGCCTTACGGGCAAAAGTGGCCCCCCTATGAAAACTAATGAAGAACATTCTTTTGGTCTTTCGGTAAAGTCACGTAAATAGTAGAGGCCGACCGAAATTCGGTTTTAGTTTGGCAAATGGCCTCTTTTGGCATATTTTCGGTTTCGGCCGAAAGTAAATTTTTAACTTTCCGTTTACTTTAGGTTTCGGCCGAAAGTAATTTTTTTTACTTTCGGTCTGGTTTCGGTTTCGGATGAAACTTATATTGACTTTCAGTCGTCAACCGAAGATCTATGTTTAGAATATAACGCTAGTGCTACGTCTTTCACTCTGCCTATCGGCCGGTCAGTCGGTGCTAGGCAATCCTATGCGATAGGTTGCAAACACACACACGTCAGCAGCAGCAGCTTGGGAGTGAGGTTACAGCCGCAACCATGGTCTGCTCATGTATATACAGTGAGGGAAAAAAGTATTTGATCCCCTGCTGATTTTGTACGTTTGCCCACTGACAAAGAAATGATCAGTCTATAATTTTAATGGTAGATTCATTTGAACAGTGAGAGACAGAATAACAACAACAAAAATCCAGAAAAACGCATGTCAAAAATTGTATAAATTGATTTGCATTTAATGAGGGAAATAAGTATTTGACCCCTCTGCAAAACATGACTTAGTACTTGGTGGCAAAACCCTTGTTGGCAATCACAAAGGTCAGACGTTTTTTGTAGTTGGCCACCAGGTTTGCACACATCTCAGGAGGGATTTTGTCCCACGCCTCTTTGCAGATCTTTGGCAACTCGAACCTTCAGCTCCCTCCACAGATTTTCTATGGGATTAAGGTCTGGAGACTGGCGAGGCCAAGGACCTTAATGTGCTTCTTCTTGAGCCACTCCTTTGTTGCCTTGGCCGTGTGTTTTGGGTCATTGTCAGCTGCAGTTACAACATATAGCAGTGTGATACACATTAGGGTGGGTAGAATAATACATAGTGTTATATTAAAATGGATAAGGCAGCAACTGCAGCAGCAGCAAGTGCAGCAGCAGCAGCAAGTGCAGCAGCAGCAGCAAGTGCAGCAGCAGCAGCAACTGCAGCAGCAGCAGAAACTGCAGCAGCAGCAACTGCAGAAGCAGCAGTAACTGCAGCTCCCTTTGATGCTGTTAATCCTGCATAATGCACATGCATATGCAGTACTAATCACATTCCTACATTTCCCATAAATATGCTAAATTCCTTTTGATATGCAAATTCCTTTGTCAATGCGCCCAGCTTATATATATGCTCCAAGCTCGTGTGCTGTTTCATTCAGACTCTGTCGCCTCGACGGACCTGGTTTTCACCTGAGGACGGCTGCTTGCGTTGTGGCCGAAACGTCGTGAGAATTGTTTTATTATGTTTTATTTTTATTATTTTATTACTTCCCTTCTACGTGACTTTACCGAAAGAACCAAGAAGATTCAGATGTTCATTGGCAAACTTCAGACGGGCATGTATATGTGCTTTCTTGAGCAGGGTGACCTTGCGGGCGCTGCAGGATTTCAGTCCTTCACGGCGTAGTGTGTTACCAACTGTTTTCTTGGTGACTATGGTCCCAGCTGCCTTGATATCATTGACAAGATCCTCCCGTGTAGTTCTGGGCTGATTCCTCACCGTTCTCATTATCATTGCAACTCCACGAGGTGAGATCTTGCATGGAGCCCCAGGCCGAGGAAGATTGACAGTTATTTTGTGTTTCTTCCATTTGCGAATGTCACATTCTCACCAAGCTGCTTGGCGATGATCTTGTAGCCCATTCCAGCCTTGTGTAGGTCTACAATCTTGTCCCTGGTCTTGGCCATGGTGGAGAGTTTGGAATCTGATTGATTGATTGCTTCTGTGAACAGGTGTCTTTTATACAGGTGTAATGCGAGCAAGGACAGGGTGGGTGCTGCCTCCGCGCCACTCACACGGGCCGGAGTATTGGGGAGACGGAGCCTGGTCGACGGAGCGAGTGGGAGGAGCCACTGCTCACCTCGGCTCCAATGGGAGTTGGGGTGAGTAGGGGTGGAGACAGGGGCAGTACGGGAAGGAGGAGTCAGGGTCACGTGAGAAGGAGGATATAGGGCGAGAGCCGGAAGAGATCTGAGAGTTGGAAGAGAGTGGAAATGGGGGAGAGCCACGCTGGGTGGTGGCGGAGGAGTGGCGCCATTTGCCACGTGGTCGGAGTCACGGCACCGTCGGCCGGCGGTGTACGTGAGGTAGCAGTAGCTAGCGGGGTGTGAGGAGTTAGAGGTGTGCGTGGGGCACACAGAGCAGCGGTGTGGCTGCGGAGTGTGCGTGGCACACGGAACAGCGGTGTGGCTGCGGAGTGTGCGTGGCACACGGAGCAGCGGTGTGGCTGCGGGGTGTGCGGGGCACACGGAGCAGCGGTGTGGCTGCGGGGTGTGCGGGGCACACGACGCGTGCGTGGGGTGCACGACAGAAGAGACGCGGGTCCGACTGAGGACGCCGCGGGTGCGAGACAAGAACCCAAATAAAGGACAGACGGAGACCTACATCACCTGCAGAGTCTTTTATTACATTGTCGAAACATCTCAAGAAAAAGAACATACCTGCACCATCTTCTGAA